CAAGATGACGACGACGACGACGAAGAACACGGACACCCCGACAGATGGAAAGGGGGGGGGGAGGTGGAGGGAGAAACGGATAACAGGTGCAAGCGGAATATGATATGGTACCTCCGATAAAGAAAAGGAGGAACAAACAACGGGACAGCGTTAAATAAAGGAGCAGAAAGACAAATACCTTTAGAGGGCAGCTAATTGTCGGAGACTGCTGCATGATCTCCGCAATTTCTCGGTATCACCTTGCTTGCTCTGGCTCGGCCGCGACTTTTTTAGAAACCTTCCAACAATTGTTGTATGCTACCGTCTGAGTGTGGAGCGTAGTGTGATGCGAGGACCGTGGTGGAGTCGAGATATAATTATCGCACGCTTTTCTTTTCCCGACTAACCCAGCTTCGAGATGTGGGGGATTAAGAAAAAATAAAAAGGGACGGATCTGAACGAGAGTGTTGGGTTGTTGTTGGTTGGGTTGCGGTGTAAGGTGTAGCAAGCAGCAGAGTTTATTTTCGTCTCCCCGCAGCCCCGATGACGAACGAGACAGACGTATTCGCCCCTGCACACAGATGAGGCCTTTCCACCCACTCTCTTCTTCTCCCCTCCTTCTCTACCGCAACGCAATGCGCTCTCTCACACCGCCTTCCACGTTCTTCTCCCTCTCTCTCTCTCTCTCTCTCTCCTGCCCTTTTCACCCGCTGCCCTCTCTACAGCCGATGTCGGGGAAGACGGGAGGTAGTGGAAATGTAGAGCAAGGGAAGGGAAAAGAGAAAAAAATGGGAAGGGGGTCCGATCCAAGCGAGCGGTCGGTGGGAGGGAGCACAGCAGAAACGGCTATGTATGTAGGTACGTGGATGGGCGGATTGACAGGAATTGATGGAGTGGAATCTATGAATAGAAGGCAATGCGTGCCTTGGTGGACTCGCGGCAGCAGCAGCAGATGCGAGATAGAGGAAAAGGAAGACGGATGGGAAAGAATGGTAAAAGGGAAGAATGGCAGCTTCTGAGGAACAGTCGGACAGTTCAGCACCAATACGCCAACCCATACAAGTACAAAACCCCACAAAACGTAGCAAGCGGTAAAGCGGATCAAGGCACACACCACCGTTGTCCACCGGTACCACCACCACACTCTAACTCCTCGCACACAACCCACAGCTAATACCGCGCACACCGCTCATACGCACCGAAAACTACCGCACTCGTAGCAGCGATGGCACCGGTACTGGGAAACTATATCTTTGTCGGGATGGCCCCAAACGAATAACGGTGGGGGCTGGAGAGTGCACAGCGAGGTGGCTTCCTTCAAAGGGAGAAGCGGCCGCGAGCAAGGGCTTGGGGCGACGGTCGAACGAATGAACAAACGATGAAAAAGAGAGGGATGGCCGATATTGGGGAAAGGGCTGAAGGGAGGGTGGGGCCGCTCTACCTGTACTCCTCTCTCCCGCTTTGCTCGCCTTTTTTATTTTATTTTTCCCTAAAACTCTGGCAGGCCTCGGGATACGGTGCTCCAGGAAGGGGAGTGTTCAAAGCTCCAACTTTCTCAACCAAATTCTTGTTAGTTCCGTATTCTGCCGAGGCAGAGGGTACCTGGCGGTCCGCAGTGGGAATAGGAATGGGAAAGGAAGGGCTTGGTTCGCTGGGAGCTCGTCTGTTGGTTGGTTGGAGGGATGCTCTGTTGGTTGGCCTTGTGTGTGCTGGGTTTTCGCCCGATGGGGGAGTGCGAGTGGGAAGGAGGGGGATTCCTCCTCTTGGCTCGCCTGCGCTTCACCGAATAGGCTGTTTGACGTCGGCACGCTGAGACGTCCAGCCACGCGACCATCGAAACGGGTAACACCCCCGACCGTTTTATTGCGCAACACCCTTAAGGGGACGAGCTCCCCTCTCTTATCGATAAACAACCCCATCATACCGCTGCTGAGCACGAGCACGGCAGGGTGTGCTCGAGCGCTCTTACTCCCACGGTACTCTTCCCATCATACCTGCTCTATACATACCTACAATCAGGTATCGGACAACCACCCCTTCATCTCGTTGACAGCTGCGAGACCCGGCATGAGATCTTACTGTTGCAGGAGAGGTCCCGAACCCTACGCATCCCAGGCAGATCGAGAGAGGGAGGGTTAGACCAGACAGCCACATTCCCATGTCGAGTCGAAACATATCATACTGCGCGATACAATGCTAGTTGCAAAATCCGTCTCTCACAATTTTCCCCCCTACTACCAATACCTCACACAATCCCTACCCATACCCCTCTCCGGACACAGTACGGCAGCTCTATGACCCCCGCATTGCACCCGCCCCACTGCCACCGTCGGCTAGGGTGGCCATCACTCGCAAGCCAGCTCAAAATCGGGCTCCACAACAGTACCAGAGTTCCCATAGAGTATCAAGTCATCATTCGAGTCTTTTTTTCCTCCTCTTTCCCCTCTCCTTCCCCTCTTGAGTTATTGGACCCGTTGCTATCCGACCTGTCACACAATTATCACCCGACCAAAACCCGCCTCTCACTGAAGGATCCACGTCCGCGCCCTTCCCCTCTCTCCAAAAACCGAGAGACTGTCCCAATATCAGAAAAAAGTGAACCAGAGGGAAGGGGAAAGGATCAAGATTGCATTAATCCCCCTAAGCATGGAGTTGGCAGGCCTCTCCTACAGTAGACAGTACGGTACTATAACACTTGGTCTCTCGCTTTCCCCGTTTTCGTATTAGGGATGGCGAACGCCACGCGTACTCTCCCGATCCAGATGATCCAATTCTCGCAATGAAAGCATCCACAGTGCGGTGGGCAGTAACCCACTATCGTACCATAACTGCAAGCTTAATGCATACACTAGCCCTAGAGAATCCCCAGAACCTTGGCCTGCCAGTCTGCGTCTCACCGCTGCGCTTGCCATACACAATTTAACACAACCCTTTTCGCCCGGAGAGGCTGAGAGGGTTTTGGGCTGGAATCGTCTCGAGATGCCCACGCCGCATTCCCACATGTATCATAGTAAATCACTCGTTAGAGTGGCATGGGCGCTCGCCCCAGCGCCCAATTAGAGTCGGAACGATCTCGGGTATCTCTACCGGTGTTTTCAGAAGTGCCGAGCAGGAAGATCAAACAACTTGTTTGCTTTTCTGTCCTACAGCCCTCCCCCCCCCCAACCCGCTTCCCCCTGTCCAGTTTTCTGCAGCCAAGTACCAACAGACCGGTAGGCAGAGGACCAAGATGGTGCGGTGCAGCTCCCACTTTCCGGACCGGAGGGGGGGTTCCTACGAATTCCGACCCGGATTGTTCCAACCTTATGCCGGTGGTTCGATCCCTTCCAAGGGAGAAAGGAGAAAGTGAGCATTTAATCGGCCGGCGCACGATATTGTGGGGCCTCAGTAATAACCTTCAGGGAGCTCGCGTAAGGTACAGCAGTGGAAGCGAGGAATGTACGATACAAGGTGATATGGCGAGAGAGAGAGAGTTGGATTTGACTTTGGGCGGGGAATCCTACCTAGATCCTAGAATTCCCCCACTCTGTCCTCTTTATGCTGGAGTGGTACAAGTACCGTATCATGGTGTCGCACAGTTAAATTTACAGTACCATGCCGTACTAGTACATGTGATCAGCGCAAGCGAGAAAGCCATAATACCACACAGTACTCGAGTAACATCCAAACGCCCCAGGCCGCAGAATCCAACGCTTTGATCCCGAAACTCAAAACATGCGAGTGGGAACGAAAGCGGCATACAATAGCGATTCTACAGGGATCCCCCCCCCCCACCAGAATGGGGCTTACAGTACTCGTACCGGTACGAGTGCTGCTCTTCTTGTGATGGCTACGAATAACGGTGCGCTGTGTGGCCAGCAGGGGTTTTTCCTCCAACTGTACTCGAGTACTCGTACTCGTACGATATTGTGAGGAATCGCTGTCCCGAGTACGAGCACTAGGTACAGTAGGTCTCGCCGTCTCGGACCCTGGAGGGAAGGGGGATCTGTGTTGGTGACCGAGTTCGTCTATGATACCAGTACCGTATGATACGTTTGAGACATAATTATGCGGAATTCCGCTATACCTGGATGATATAAATTTACGTCTGTGCCTGGTTCGCATCCTGCAATCCAAACTTTGCGAAAACAAAAAACAAAAACAAGATTAGAAGTTAACACTTACGAGTAGAGCCAGAGCCAGAGTCCCCCCCCCCCCACGTTCTATGATACCAGCACAATACCATACCAGTTATGATATAGTATGATATGATACTGCCCGTCTGCAGATAGGTACCCAGCTTGCAGGAACGGTGCATCCAGACATTGAGAGTAAGGTATCGAGTGAGATTACGTGATCAAAGAACCGAGACAGGGTATGATACAAGTATAATGATAATACACTACATGATTCCCCCAAAGTGGAAACCGGAGTCCGTCGGACAGGCGGGGAAAGGCTCGAGGTGGGGTGAGGTGAGGGGAGAGTGGAGAGATGGTGACAGCCCCCCCCCCGGGCCAGCTAATATATACTCAGGGGGGTAGGCTAAACACAGGAGACATATCCACCTCTCTAGAGTGACAACTCCTGCTAGGTTCAAGCCGATCTGTTATACCGTAGAACAATAGTAGCGGGAGTACATGTGGAAAGGACCAAATGGTGCGCTATGGAAGTGAGCTAGGTACGGGTTACAAACCCTACTCGGGCACTAGAAGCTACCCTACACCTACCTAAATGCTTCACTTTATCTGGGGACATTTGCGGCCCTCTATCTCACAGACTGCCGTTACAACAGAAGAAAAAAGGGAGCCACCGTCGAAGAATACCATATTTATATACAAGCTACCCTTTGTCCTGCGCAATCATGCGCAAAGCCCCAGAACATGCAAGGAAACAATGAAAGGAAAAGGAGAAAAGAAAAGGAGCCCTAGTGATCTGGGAGTATTATCCTATAAATCATGTCTTATCACATCTAACTGACTAGACACAAGCAAACTAGCCCCCCATAAAATATGCCCAAGGGGAAAACTGCCAAACCCACTCTATTCCTTACGACTCCGCTGCCGCCTAGGATACTAACGCCAGCGGCAAGGGACCACAGGTACAGGACAGAGTACACGGGAACACGGACGATAGCCGGGATGTGTAGAGCCGAGAGGAGAGCACAGATGACGACGGGGAACAGCGTATATCCGATGATAGAAACCGACTGGAAGAAAGAGCTATAGGTCTGAATTAGCATGGTGAGCCAAACCTCATGATAGGCGGGGAAACCCACATATTCCCCCCGAGCAACTTAATCTGCGCCGTAACCACCGCCTCCCCAATCCAAACCATGGAGAAAACCCCTGCGAACACTTGCGTAGTCTGCGAATCGCTCGCCGCAAAACTCAACAGTGTACTGAGAGCCAAACAGAATACCAACGGGCCCCAAAGGTCCCAATCCCCAATAATCCCGCCCCCTCTACCGCCACCGTTGCCAAAGCCACCGCCGGACTCTAGAACGTCGTTTGCGTCTGGCCACTTCTTGAACGTGAACTTTGGCCAGAGGACCGCTTTCATCTTCTCCCAGACGGCGAGGACATCACGAGAGAGCGTGTCCCAAACTGATTCGTCCAAGGTGTTGTTTGGCGCACGACGATCTTCACCGGGAATAGCGGAGGTGAGGTGTGTGGGGTTTAACGGGGTAGTAGCAGAGGTCGCTTCGAGTGGGTCGTCATCATCGACATTGACTATCGAGGGGAGTTGGGTTGGTTATTCGAGCTTCTCTGGGGGCATATGTGGAGGGGTGGGGGGGGCTCACGATCATCCGGGTCGATGACATCTTGTTCGATCCTGCTAGACTCATAGTTATCGTAGGGGTTCATGTTAGAGCTCGAGGCCATGATGCTATTCCTCTTAGCTAAAGGATCTAGTAGCTATATCTAGATATTGGCTGCTATCAAATATTCCGTCGTGGTGGCGGTATTGGCTGGTTGGCTAGTTGCAGAAGCTGTTTGGAACCGGCCTGAAGGTGTGAAAGTGGAAAGCTTTGCTTCATCGATGAGGCTGACGTTGCCCCTTCCATCTCAGCGGAAGAAAACCTAACCCTTGACATTCCATTGTTACACGAGACAAAATTGCATTTCCTAGCAAATTTTCCGATTCAACTCCGCCAACTGCAATAACCATCAATTGAACCAAAGCCATGCTTCCAAGAGCAATCTTAAAATCGATACGAGTGCCGGTGTCGAGGGTTTACTCCACGGCCCGGTCACCCGCTTTACTACTGAAATTGAGGTATATTTCATCATTTACCGTTTCATTTGTTCACCCGGAAGAGTTCTCACTAGATCACCCCACAGGGCCGATCTCAAGGATGCTATGCGAAACAAAGATGCCAATAGGCTTAACGTCATTCGAGTAATCCTCCTATTTGTCTAAGTGCTTACTCTAATGATGCTGACCATGCTCTAGGGAATTCTTTCGGACATAAGTAATGCCTCTAAAACGACCAACCCTCCTTCAACTGACCTCGACATCCTTTCTCTGATTAATAAGACAAGGACAAAGTCCTTAGCTTCTATTGCTGAATTCCGCGAGGCGGGGAGAGGGGACTTGGTCGAAAAAGAGACTGGTCAGGTTGCTATCCTGGATACTTACGCTGGGATGGTGGAGAAAGTAGCGGAAGAGGAGATCGAGGCTGTAGTAAATGGAGTTATCAAGGCTGCGAAGGAGGCTGGGGAAAAGGTCGATATCGGTAGCATCATGAAGAAAACCCTTGTCGAGTTGGCTGGAAAGCCGGCCGTGAAAGCTGAGATTGCGGTGATTGTTAAAGAAGCAATCAGAACTGCCTAGGCACCGTGCCCGTATACAATCTAGGTCAGGTATATTGCATCAAAGCCCTAAACATGCTGAGCCAGGGATAGGCCGTGGTTGAGGGAGACACGTTCAAAGGACAGATTCTCGTTTGGGCTCCTAAGCTCCGTGCTCCATGTGATTGAACAAAAGTGCTGTATACAGTATCTTGCACACTTCAGGTATGGGGTTTGTTGCGTATTACCAAATCCACCATCCCGTGTAACTTATATCACATCTCTGCTCAAGTCTAGGTGTATTGAGGGTCCTCAGGGCCGAAGGGGAAGCGGGAGGAGACTGGGCCAGAAACCTGGCGTTTCCGGTAGTAAGAACCATGGCCATCCGATCTCTGGTGCCTCGTACCCGCACCTACCCGTAACCCAATGGCCAGACACAGAAATGTAGGAGCAAGCCCCACCGGCAATTCCGAAGGATCGCAATGAACACACACCATTCAATTAATCAAGCATTACCAACCTCCTCCCCCACCCTCTCAGCCAAATCCACCAAATGCCCTGTACGGACAACCAATTCTTCATACCTAACAATAAACACAGTAGCACTCTCGTCCTCCTCATCCTCCTCCCCTTCCTCCATGGGCGCAAACCTACTCTCGGCAACCTTCATACGAAGCCCTACATTCCGCAATTCATCCAACCAGAATACCTCCGCACCCCCGGTAGCCCTAGAAGCAGCGCGCAACCAGGACCTACGAATCCGGAAGAAACTTTCTTTTTCCGAGATTTGCACTGCACGGGTGAACGTCGACCCCCGAGGACTTGATTTAACAAGTACGGAGGAGGCGCATAGTTGTGTGAAGTACTCTGATGCATCGAAGGGGAGGGTAGTGGTTACGAACGGGAGACCCGGAAGTTCTTTCGGTTCACCACCACCATCAGCCTTGGGGAGGTCGTTGATTTGAGGTGGTGGTGATGGTACCTGGGGCTTGGCCTGGGAGCGCTTTGTTCCGGAGGGGAGGGGGCGGAAGTGTGCGTATAGGTCCCCGATATTAGTCGGGGTGGTCTGGGATGCGGTAACGTAAGAGCCTTTGTACCAGCAGTAGTGGTAGGGGGCGTGAAACTGTGATGCCTACCGTATTAGCCATCGTTCCTCCTCTTTAGTGGGAGAGAGAGAGAGCATACCCGATTACTAGGCGAAGAACACTGAAACACCAAATCATGCCCCTCCAAAATCTCCATGGCCCGAAACCTCTTCCGAGCGATGAACTCGACAGAGCTACAGATCCTCTTCGAAACCCTAGCCACCCGCAACAATACCTTAGTGGGCAGATACGAGAGTATACCCTCCAAAAGCTCCCCAGGGAGCGAATTCAAGCCCACCACCGTAGACATCGAACCAAAATACCGGTATGGCAGTAAAGTATAGTAGTAAAGTAAACGGTATAAAACCCCAGACACAAGATCCCATGCTCGACGAGCCCTTCCTTCCTCCTTCCGGAGAATATTTATTATATTTTACTCCCCGTGGCATTCTGAACGGGACCGTGGAGGGGAAGCGTAGCCGTAGGGGTGGTCGTTTTCTCGGGGCGGCGAAGACTTCCCTTCCTTGCCGTAATGTGCCCGTATTAGCTGCAGTACCGGTATTGCAGCGGGTGCGGAAGGCAGGCACGGTATACGAGACGCTTATCGGCGAGTCGGAACATGTTACCGCACGTGGAATACGATATATTATATTATAGCATGCTCCTCGGGAGATTATTACCTTCTTTCCTTTTCCCACCCACGGACCATTTCCCTCCTCGTGTCTTTACCCATCATGGCTGCTATTCTTGTAGTATACAGCACAGTACCACAGGGGGGGAAAGGGCCGGATACTCTATCCAGTAGTGGTAACAGATATGAACAGATGAAACGAATCCTAGTACTCGTAAAGCAAAGTGAAGCAAATGAAACCATGCCCATAAACTTCCCCATCGGAGATTTTCCTTTACTTTACACCGGTGAAATGATGTTCCGTCCCTCTTTTCATAACGTGATGTACCGGTACCGTACGAGTAGTAAATTTACCCATGCATACCTTAGGCCGGAATATCACTGCTCTGACAGGGCAGAAACACCCCATCATATCATATCACAAATTTAACCTGCACCACGAAACCCGGTTTCACCGATCGACACCATTATTGCTGCAGTACCCGTATTATTCGTATCATAATTATATACAGTGCGCAGCCCCCGCCGACACTATGAAGCTGAACCCACCACCACCACCACCACCACCACCGACATCCACAACGGCCTCGGTAAAGAAGAAGAAAAAAGAAAAAAACAGCCGAATCAACATTGTATTTACTAAACAAACGATTTCCCGTGATGAGCTGGAAGGTTTTACTTATTTATTATTCCGCTTTCTATTTTCGTTGTTTCCCCACTTTTGTGAGCGGGCTATGGCTGGAACGGAGCATGGGTTAGCTGGGGCACCGTAATCGAATCCTACCCCACCCCACCCCACCCAAGGTGTGGTGGGATTTTCTAGGTAGAGTTGAGCGATGTGCTGTGATTCGTGGTGTCACAAGCACAGTAAGTTGGGGAAAGTTTTGTCAGGGTGAGGGTGTAAGTTAATGTGGTACGGGATTCGGACGGGGTGGTTCGGAGGGTGGGATTGGAGATGGTGGTAATGTTGTGATACGGTATTAAGTTATAGGCGGGTTCGGGCTTTGTATAAATTTATCATACTCTATGGATCTGTTCATTCCCCTAGAGTACTGTGAGTGCGATACCTGTGATGGTACCATAGATAGAGTATAAGTTAGTATCATAGCAACCAACTTAGCAATAGTCAAGATTAAAAGCAGATTAATCTCAAGATTGAAAAGATCGCTCTGATACATGGAAGGCAGGTAGGATGTCCGTTAGCACAAGTAACGCCCCCATTCCCGAGGATTTGTGTCTGGCGAGGGGCACGATCAAACATCAACAGATCAATTAAAATAGGACAGAGCGGCAAGACTTTCTATTGCTGGCTGCGGGTACCGGTACGGTGCTTAGCATACGGATCGATAGGTGTCACGGCAGGTGCAACTGTCAGGCTACGTGTAGCTGAACCCCCCTTCAGGAAAGAGTTCCCAGAATATCTAGGGTATGTGTGATAGTGATATTCCAGCTGGAACTCTGAGGGGGGTTGCACGGGCTGATTCTGTGGAGATGCCTACCGTTATTTTACTGTAGCAAGATAACTCTAAATTGGCAAGTGGGAGACTTCGACTTTACTAACTAACTGGCGGATTGGTATGGCCGCTGAGGGGGAGAAATATAGAAAGAAAGAAAGAAGCTTGATGTTTCTCTACCGCATGTGCAATTGTGGGTTTTTATGCCAAGCTGAGAAGAAGGATATCGGAAAGCCGAGGTTGGCGATACGAGCACCTCAGGAGAAGGGAGGAAGTTTGAAAGGCCCCGGAGGAAACCATATAGGAAACTGGACGAAAGGAAACTCGTGTGTCTGGTGGATGGATAGCACCAAATCCAACGGGCCTTTTCGAGTGATATTTTATGATGGGGTCCGAAAGTGGTATCATACATACCCCGGATACCTCTTTGAGGCATTTTGAGAGACCTTTTTTTTTTTTTTTAATCTTCTCCAGCAAATAATTACTTTCTCTGGAGGCTGCAATCACATCACACTATAACCTGGTGGATAACCGCCGCCTAGGACACAGTGGATGGCTACCAAATCACTCATCCTCTACGGTACTCGCGCGGCCGAATTGGAGCGGGACACCCTCATACAGTAGTGATCACCGGGCCAATAGATCCACTTCTTATGAAACTATATATATCACACGGAACTAGTTGTAGCATACGGTACCCGGTCAAAGAAGCACTGGGGGTAGCTCATCCTCAGACTATGATTCATCAAAAGTGTAAAATATTGCATGACAAGCTTTACAGGCCAACCTACCTCATTTTAGGGGTGGTAGTTTCAATGGCCGCAATCTAGATCATATGGGTATTTGACGGGTTGCAAGGCCAAGTACAGAAATAATATCCGTAAAGGTGTCCGTATTTTATATTGTGTATGATGATTAATGGCGTTGTCTGGGTTGAGCTCTTTGCTGGTCCGGTAATCACCACTATATAACGGCACCCAGCTTCAATTCGGCTGCAGAGTAGTATTAAGAAAATTTCACATTGAGTACTAGTGCTAATTATAAGTTTATGACAAGTGGCATTTCATGAATTTACTAATGATTTGCAATATGTCTTGACTCTTGCAGCTGGATCTATTTGTTTATCATGCGAGAATGAACATTGGTAGACTATATATTCTTTGACGATACTCGAGTACTTCAACTTATAGGGGATAGAATTCTAGGTGTTATACTCAGAGTGTATGAATACTTTTTGCATTGGCTATAGTATGGTTCCAGCCCTCTGGGTACAGTATCGGGGAGTGGATGCTTCAGAAGATAATTCAGAAGCCAGAAGTCCGCATCTCAATTCCTAATTGGAATAGAGTTATTTTTTTTATATAGTATACAGGTGCTCATGGTATAAGGACAAAGCATGTAGTAGTATAAATATAAATAAGAAATTGTATATATTGTTTCTGACCAACTTCAAAAAGCCAACCAGAGATTCCTCCTCGAGTGTAGTGCTTGAGCCGTTCTGAGTACCAAGACAATCACGCTATGCCTCCCCAGCGCTGTTTCCCCTCCCACCGTGCGTTGTGATACTTGTATCATACTAGCACAAGAACAGTCCGCACGTGGTTGGAGCTGAACTTGAGGTGAGATGAGGAATCCTGATACTCAACAAGTACTCGAGTGCAGTACTTTTACAAAGGTTCAGTGCATACTGTACTCGCAGTAATAAAGCAATATATATAGATTCTACTACTACTCCGGCTGGAGCATCTAGACCAGTAATCCCACCTGAGTAACAAGTATCACCAGTATGTGAATTTTTACGCCAAGAGCTTGATGTGCAGCCATACCGTACCGGTGCTATACTTGAAAGGAAAAAGAAAAAGCCAATACTTCTTATTTTATTCTATTTTTTCTCTACAAAGTAAGCCATATATGGAAAAGCAAAACTCCCCACGATCCGTGGCCTCTGGATACGCCGTCCTGCCAGCCTAAATTAAAGAAAACTTTCACAAAATTAGTTATGATACATAATCTAATAAGGATAGGAGTAGCCTTCTTGCTTCCTAGATCCTGCTAGAACCCCCCAAGCCTTCCTAGTCGAAGCCCAATCCTTACCGCCAGCCTACATGCAATGCTCAAGGCTGTGGAGCCATTCACTCATCGGTTTCTTGTTCCCATCAAGTGCATTCACAATGTGACATCCGTTTGCCAGGATCAATGACTTAAGTCCAGTTTGACTCACTGTTAATCCAGTCATTCGCCAATTCAGAGTATATTTTGGAGCTGTTACCTTGTTAAGAAATTTACTTGACATCCCTTTAAGCACCGTCAACACCTATTAATGTAATTCCGTAACCCGTCATATCGGCTCAAAACACGTTTTGAATCAACGAACGACTCAATCGGCAGCAAGCCAAACTGGACCTTAGAGTTCTCTACTTTGTAGACTGATTCGGGGTTCTTTTCGACCGCTCCGAGTTTCCTTTCAACTAACTCAACTTTCTTGTCGATGCCATGGATCTCGTTCATGAGATCTTCCTTTACTTGAGCATTCCCACGTCTTGTCTGCCAGATGACAGTAATCGGTGGGATGCTAGCGGCCGCAAGAGCGGAACCGTAAATGTGAGCCAACTCTATCACAGAAAAGTGTTCGTTAGCAAGCATCACCAGAGTGCAAATAGGGAGCGATAACCTGATAAAGAAACCCATAGGTGAATTGGAATCTTATAATTGACTAAAGGTAAACTAGAATCTTGTAGCTGGCTAAGAGTGAAGAATTTCGTCTCTTCTCAGAGAAACCCCTCCCTCTTATACAAACTTTTTATAGAGTGCTTAGGGTCCGTTTACCTACGGACGGCCGTCTAGCGGATGGAGATGGCACCGACAGTCAAGGAGGGCTTGACGGTTGTACCCAGGCAGAGCGTCTGGAGGTGTTTGCCTTGAGTACCGGCACTGTCTGGAGTGTTTGGTAAGGGTTGCAACCGCAACTCTAGAGCAACGCCTAGAACCAAGAACACTTTTCAGCGTCAGTTGTACGAGTACTAACGAGTACTAACTTGACACAATTCTCGCCGTGATGTAACCGTCTACTTTCACCACATAAATTTTAGGCGCAGGTGGCCAGGTAAACTGGCCCTTAGCCAGAGATCATTATCCCTAAACATCACCCCATTCCACCAAGCTGAGCTTGGAGAATTTGGGACACAATCCCTCCTAGCCAAACAAACACGAGCAATTACGAGTATGGTGCCGGCACCTTAGAACCACGGCATTTGCGAGCACGGCAAGTGCATACACAGCGCCGATAGCATACCTAGTATCGAAAGCTCCACTTTTGCCTCCTGGTAGCCATCGGTTTCGAGACCCTTTTTGGCCCAGATGGAGGAACCAGTCAACCAACCTGCATCGAGCACTCTGAGTACCCGGCTCTGGTGGAATCCCTCAAACCGACAGACACCCCGCGCAAACCCCCCCCTCCGCCTGCCCAACAAAGACTCACCATCACTCGCCATAGCCAAACGCATCCGGTACGGGCACCGCAAACGCACAAAACCCACGTCGCAGCAACTAGGTTGGTGCGCGAGCAAACGTCCGCAAGGAAGCGCGCTACGGAAAGCAAGCTCGCGGTAGCTAAAGCTAACCACAAGTGAGCCAGAACGTCTAACATGCTGTGGAGGTTTAGTGGTGGATATTGTTTCGCAAGCTTAACCCATACTTGCCTGCCTAGGTTGATTAAGTTGAGCCCGGGGAAGGAGGCCCACCGACGGTACGGCGGGGTGATACCGGTATTCGAGCAAGCTCGGCCACCAAGGAGCGGCCCCCAGTACGGCTGGTGAGGGACTTGGGTTTATGCTCCCGACCCCAACAGGTGATTTGGAGGGGGAGGCGGAGGAGGTTGTGGGCCGGAAGGGTTGGGTTGGGTTCATTTGGTAGATTACTTCATGCTTTTTGACAAAGCCTCGGGATGGTCTTACAGGGCGCTGGGGGCCGTGCTCGTCGAGGCATCATAAGTATGATACAAGTACCAGTGCGGTACCAGTACGAGATAAGTTAGTTCCCGGTCATCACACAGTGTCGCGTCTTCAACAATAGAAGTGCTGATCTCATCGAAATTAACCCTAACCTTTAGCTCGAGTTCTTGTGAAACCCAGGGAAACTCCAAGACCCAGATCCTTGGCTCCGCCGCTAGAACCCCATATCGCGAGCAGTCAACACCAGAGTCCTCTATCTTCTCTCCTACAATCCCTATGGAACCCCGTGGGGAGAATTTTCTATCATATTATACCTAGAAGAACCTCAGAACATTCTTGCGAAACTATACCCCCCGGAAAATGGCGAGCAACGGGCTCTGGCCCCACCCCCGTCGCCTGGCTCCAGCGCGATCTCCTACTCCCCGCGACTAGCACCAACATGAACAAAGATGAACTCCGCTTCCTCTAGTAAGGCGAACTTCCCCGTGCCAGCCGCAGACATACCTCTAACGCAATTGCGATATTCCCCCACCCATCCTAGGAGTTCCACCCACCCCAAGCCTTCCCGACATACTCGATCTCCCCAAGCTTCAAGCACGAGGACCTGAGGGTGATCGGCGTTATCGCCCGCATGACCTCCGGTGCCAAAGCCACTCTCAGCGTTCCGAAACTCGATCCATCACGGAGTGTAGATGGCAAGCGTCAGTTGGGGGTGCTAAAGTCGATTCCTATGATACGAGTTCTGCGGGGAGAGTTTAAATTGAGAAATGCTTAGGGTGGCTGATAATAGCAAGGCGGGGGCAATCACGGAGACTGAGGATTTACTCGTTAGTAAGGCTATTGGTGAGGTTTATACGGAGACCGCTGTGACACGATAGCTCTTCGTTTTACAGCCGGGCGGTGGGGGATATCGAAGAGCTATCCCTCTATGTATTTGTTTTGATAAGGGCACGAGTGCTAACTCTCTGATATCAGAGGTCCCGGGACAGAAAACTTCCCACCACCGGAAGGAAGGCTCCTAATGTGACCTATGTTCAGCCTATGAGCCCCGAGCTGCCCTACTCTACGGGAAAGCTTATGTGATACCCCCGTCTCCTGGTCTAGAAAAGCGAAACAACCCTCCAAGTGCAGAAATACAGACTAGACGATGACTACAACCCCCTCTATTGCCGACAATTGGCAAAAAGGTTGGCTCCAGTGGTGCCATACTCCACGGCCCGTGTGTCTAGAACCTGGGTGCCCACGCCGTCCCAAAGACCTCCGGAAATAGCAACCCTATCACGCTGAGGTTCCTCCAGACCAGGTTTCCCAGCGCTGTCACGCCCGGCGGTGAGCCTCCTCTTCGATACGCGGAAGACCAGTAAGAAGGAGGTTGACTTCAATGGGATCAACTTCACTCCTAGGGTTAAAGAGGGTGAAAGGGCAGTTTTGAGAAATGGGCGGGCATTAATCAATTAAGGTTTATGTTAGTGCCAATGGGAGCAAACCATGAGCGGGAATGAGGGAGAAGGCGCTCAGAATATCCTAAGCATGTAAAACCCCAATTGCTGCTAGGTGTGTAACTTGTTGAATGTGATCGATGCCACAATTTTTCTCCGACACCGTAGTATATCACGATCCACGAATAGCACTGGTAAAACTCCCTATACAACGTTGTATCATACCCGTGTCTCTCCCTGAAACACCATTTAAGTTCTGCACTTTACGGAAACCCGCGTGCTATCGCAAAAACGGACTCTAATATATACACAAACGAGCTACCCCGATTTGAAGCGTTATCATAATATCTCATACCACCAATCCAGTAAGAAAGCACGACAGTAGACCACGGGTTCGTGCCGTACCAGCGCAGTGCAAGTACTAGTACAGTACTGTGAAGCACAAAAATCAGCAGTAAATTAAATGAAACCTCACATGTCTCAAGCAATACCGGTAACTTATATCTGACAACTATACATATCCCGAGCCAGAAATCTCAAAAGAAAATCCCGGCAGACATAACCCTACAAAATAGTCTACCGTCCCAACCCAAGCTAGGGCCGGAGATATCATAAAAAGGCAACACCCGGAGCCGCTTCTCCGAATCTCTATGCTGACAAATCCCATGCGTTAACTTAGTGCTGAGTATTACGCGCGAGTAGCGAAAAGCATTCACCCGCACTCCGGGCTCCAGGTCGGTTGCCTCGGGGGAGGCTGGCGGGCGGTCCATTGCATCTCGATGCATAAACGAAGCAAAAGCCGCAACACAACTTTCGCCTCAACATCTTTTTTTTCTTCTTCCTTTTCCTTTTCTACTTTTTCGTTTCTATCCATTTATCCACTCACAACCCTCGCCCTCCTCCTCTTCACCACGGCAATCCTCCTGTCCCCTTCCACGGCGGCTGCTTGTCGCCTCGATAACCTTCCTCTCTGGTCTACGCCTCCCCTTCATCAACGAAATTTTCGGGGTTAAAGATATAATATCTAATTTCGCCATCTTTCCAACGTTTATATTTCTTTCTTTAGTGTACGAATTGAATTGAATCAAATAACGTCTTCTCCTTCTTCTCTTTTTCTCGCGAGATGGTGTACGGCCGGAGCTTACCTTGGAAGACGGCGCTGAGAATCTCAGAAGGGAGAGCACGGGCACGCCCGAGTGGGCTACCGCCATTACACCGCGCGAGAGGTTATTTCTCTTTCCCTCCTGCGAATCCAGCGCGGATCAGCACCGGATGGCCCTCTACTTCGTTGGCTTTGGGACGGAATAGCTCTCTCCCTGCTATTACTACTGCCGCCCCCACCACCACGGGCACGGCCCAGGTACTAAGGCTCGGGGATCATCGGAAATTATCTGCTTCCGCACCACAGCTGAAGGAGAAGCCGCCGCCGAAGGGTAACGGGAGTAAGGAGATTGTCGAAGAGGTTGATGAGGACGCCAAGAGGAAGGAAAAGAAGGATGAGCGTGTCAATGTCAAAGTAGATACTGGCAGCGAGAGGTCCGGAAATGGCGCCCCCTCACTGGGTGAGATATTGAAGGATGGCTCTAGTGGTACCGGTGGGCGTGGAAATGGAAGTAATGATGGTGCCTCTTCCGGTAGTAGCGGTGGACGGCGAAGAGGAGCCTCCGATAGAGCCCTTTCGAAACCTACGGTCCCGGATATCTACCCCCAAGTCATGGCTCTGCCCATTGCAAAACGGCCTCTATTTCCGGGATTCTACAAGGCTGTCACCGTTAGAGATCCGGAGGTCGCTGCAGCTATTCAGGAAATGATGAAGAGGGGACAACCCTATATTGGGGCTTTCTTGTTCAAGGACGAGAATGCGGATCGGGACACGATTGAGAGAACTGATGAAGTCCACGAAGTTGGTGTTTTTGCTCAGATCACTAGTGCATTCCCAGTCCACGGCGAAGACAGCAGTTTAACAGCTGTCCTGTATCCCCACCGACGAATTAGGATCTCCAACCTTTTACCACAGGATAAATCCGAACCCAAGATCGAAGAGCCCGAGCCCATTGAGGAGACCGAGGACGAGGGCAAGGTGCAGGAGGGCAGGGGAGATGTAGTCGCAAGCTTTGAAGAGGAGGTTGAGAAGAAACAGCCAACATCAAACCCATACGCTACCTCATTCCTAAAGAAGCACAAGGTCAGTATTGCTGATGTCGAAAACCTGGTTGAAGAGAGCTATGACAAAAAGAGCCCGGTAATCAGGGCTGTCACATCCGAGATTGTAAATGTTTTCAAGGAAGTTGCGAACCTTAACCCCCTCTTCAGGGACCAGATTTCCACCTTTTCAATGTCCCAGTCGGCCGGTAACGTCATTGACGAGCCTGCGAAACTAGCAGATTTTGCCGCGGCAGTATCCGCCGGCGAAGTTAAGGAATTGCAAGAGGTTCTGGAAACCCTGGGCGTAGAGGAGAGGCTGCAGAAGGCACTTGTGGTTCTCAAGAAGGAGCTCATGAACGCGCAGCTCCAGAGCAAGATCTCCAAGGATGTGGAGGCTAAAATCCAGAAACGGCAGAGAGAATACTGGCTCATGGAGCAAATGAAAGGTATCCGGCGAGAACTTGGCATTGAGAGTGATGGGAAGGATAAGCTTGTTGAGAAATTCAAGGAAAAGGCGGAAAAGCTGGCGATTCCTGAGGCTGTCAAGAAAGTGTTCGACGAGGTACCAACCACTTGTTTCACTTTAATTTATTTGAGCAAGGATCCCTAACATTTGCGCGTTTAGGAACTTAATAAGTTGGCTCATCTCGAGGCTGCAGCATCTGAATTCAATGTTACTAGAAACTACTTGGATTGGCTTACTCAGATCCCTTGGGGCCAGAGATCTAATGAGAACTACGATATCAAGCATGCGATGACTGTACTAGATGAAGACCATCACGGGCTCAAAGACGTTAAAGACAGAATCTTGGAGTTTATTGCGGTTGGGAAACTAAGAGGCAGCGTTGAAGGGAAGATTATCTGCTTTGTTGGCCCCCCGGGTATGTCTATCTATGGCAATCGCATATCCACTTCCCCTGCCCCTTGCTAGAGTTAACAACGCGAGGATAGGTGTTGGTAAAACATCAATTGGAAAATCCATCGCCAGAGCCTTGAATCGACAATTCTACCGATTCAGTGTCGGTGGTCTCACTGATGTCGCCGAGATCAAAGGCCATCGCCGAACATATGTCGGTGCCCTGCCGGGTCGCATCATTCAAGCCCTTAAGAAATGCCAAACCGAGAACCCCCTAGTTCTTATTGATGAAGGTAGGCGAAACATCCCAGGCGCATTCATGCAGAATCATCTAGGGCCTCCATATTAATGCATTCCATGCGCAGTGGATAAGATTGGCCGAGGACATCAAGGAGACCCAGCGTCCGCATTATTGGAGCTTCTGGACCCGGAGCAAAACTCCTCTTTCTTAGATCATTATATGGATGTTCCGGTCGATCTTTCAAAAGTGCTGTTCGTCTGCACGGCGAACATGACAGATACAATTCCCAGACCGCTGTTAGACCGAATGGAGATGATTGAGTTATCGGGATATGTAGCCGATGAGAAAATGGCAATCGCAGACAAGTATCTAGCACCTCAAGCCAGGGAAATGAGTGGGTTGAAGAATGTCGACGTGGTGTTGCAGAAGGATGCGCTTGAGGAGTTGATAAAATCGTACTGTCGAGAGAGTGGGGTGCGCAATCTAAAAAAACAGGTAAGTAGGTGGTTCCGCTACAAAGCGCAGACCATTTCCACGTGCAATATTCAGCGCTGGTTCTCGCCAAAGGAGAAGAAAAAAACTAACAAATAAGAACAGATTGAAAAAGTTTTCAGGAAATCTGCCCTGAAGATCGTGCGAGATCTGGGAGAAGCGGGCCCCGAGGAAGAGAAAGCAATGACGGAAGAGGGCAAAGCAGCTCTAGGGGAAAGTGAGAAGAGAGCAGAGCGAGTTAGCAAAGAGGAAGAGGGAGCCCCCATGAACACGGAAAAGGAAACCTGCGAACCCCCAAGACCGCCATTAGCGGTTCCAGAATCGGTACACGTCACAATTGATAGAAATAATCTGAAGGATTATGTTGGACCCCCAATCTTTACTTCTGACAGGCTGTACGACATCACACCCCCAGGTGTTGTCATGGGGCTTGCGTGGACGCAGATGGGTGGTGCAGCCCTCTACGTCGAATCCATATTGGAAACGGCCTTGACACCCTCTTCGCGCCCGGCCCTGGAGAGAACTGGTAACCTGAAGAGCGTGATGAAGGAATCAACATTAGTGGCCTATGCATTTGCAAAGAGCATGATGGCCCAAAAATTCCCACAGAATCGCTTCTTTGACAAGGCCAAAGTACATCTCCACTGCCCAGAGGGAGCCGTTCCGAAAGATGGTAAGTTTCAAAAAAAAAAAATCTATGAATTCAGCCTCTCCCTCTTTCTTTCACCCGGGGTAGATCCACAAGTTCCCCATTTTAACCGAAGCTGACAATGACTTGTTGATGCAGGACCCTCTGCTGGAATAACAATGGCCACATCTTTGCTCTCTCTAGCCCTAGACCACAAGATCGATCCCACGATTGCGATGACCGGGGAACTTACCGTCACTGGTAAGGTATTGCGAATAGGTGGGCTTCGCGAGAAGGCTGTAGCAGCGCGCCGATCCGGGGCGAAGACAATTATATTTCCTGTGGATAACATGTCGGACTGGCTGGAACTTCCCGAGGTAAGAATAACTTGGTACCCAGCCTCACTACTGGCCCTTGCGGCTGAGTGACTGATGGATGAGGGAAAGGCACCATTTTAAGAGGAGCAATTATTTGCTAACAAAAGAAAAAATGTGTAGAACATCAAGGAAGGATTAGAAGGTCAGTCGGCCAGTTGGTACGGCGATGTGTTTGACCTCGTCTTCAAAGACCTTGACAAAGACAGAGCCCGGAATCTATGGCAAGAACAACTGAAGGAAGACCCGAATAAGAAGGCCAGCGATGAGCATGACGATGATTAAATCAGCACTACCCTACCATACTCTGCTGTACGATGATGAAAGGAGGGCCCTTTAGTATGCGCGTGTGCGGGAGTTTCACGGTTACGCTTTTATTTTATTTTTTTACTTTAGACCATGTACACTCTTCCCATTTCTCCTTTCCACCGTTACTGTTTCGGCGGGGGCAGAGGCTAAAAGCAAGTCACGGGACCGGGAAAGCGAAAAATCAAAGCATCAGGAAAGCTACAGTCAATTACAATGTCATGATAGAAGGGGAGTTCATTTTCAGGATACAGAGTGTGTTTGCGGAAGTCTCTGGATTCATAGTATATAGTGTTTATGGCATTTTTATCTCCTCTCGTCTTGCTTCCCTTTTTTTTTTATATTTTTATATTTTTATTTCCTACTTCTCCTTCCTCTCTTCCCCCCCCTTGAACGGGGTGCTCGGATGGGATGCCTCGAATAAGAGAGTAACGAGAGTGAAGTGTATCCGCGCTGTGCAGTGCGGGTAATCGAGTGCTCGAACAGCACAACGCAGCACAGCAGTACGGTACCGTAATGGGTAAGCCACCGGTAGGCTCACCACATCTACCGTCCATTCCGGCACGAGCACGGTACAGGTCCCTGGCACGAGCGGACTGAACACAGCGGGGGTTCCCGGAGTTGAAAGTCCTTGGCAAAGCCACTCCCCTATGTTCACTCCGTACATGCCAGGGACTTGTACAATACGGACAGCGCTGCACCCCACGCGTGCGGCATCGATTCTAGCAACCGGCGGACTCGACGGACATAGTAGGAAGTATGACAAGACGTAACTTCGTTGCAGGATTGGGGGGGGGATGGAGCTCAAGCCGTCACCGGAAGTTGTAGTACGCCTTGGTTGATAACCCGTGACCGCTGTTGCTGCTGTACTGTACTGTACCGTACACTTATGTACGCCATACCGGTACAGTTATCGAGAAACTTGGGAAACCCCGCCGAGTGATGATGATGTTCCAGTCGTCGACGAGCTGGGTTTTTTCTCTCCAGGGGATTATATAACAAGTTGCTTCCGAGTGCGGGGTATCTATCATACTCGTACTGTACCGTACCGTACTTGTGCATTCTCTACAAAGTACGATACGATACTAGGCCAGTGGACAGAAATCACCGGTAACTCAACTCACTCTAGTGTGATAGATAGATAGAAGTGTGTTTTGTACGCAAAGTAAACAGTCCATGTTCACGACATTATATACCACCCCAATCCAATCAATGGAAAATCCAACATTTTACTCCGGGTTATCACACATCTAGGAGAATTCCTTGGATTTTTTTTTCTCTCTCTTTGGCGATGTGTATCGACCGACCAAAGAGTTTGAACAAAATAAAATAAAAATTAATAAAAGTGACATAGATATGGGTCTCTGTGTCTTCCTTTTGTATATGTACGATATATATATGATAAGATGGGAAGTTGAAGCGTTTGTTCCCCCCCCCTTTTCTCTCTCCAGCCCCTCCCCCAATCGAACAAGTCAATTTCAGTTTTTGTCAAAAACATCGATTCATCTTTTTGTTTCTTTCTTTTCTATGAAGGTCCGATAATGCGTGTATGATATCGTATGAAAAGAAAAGAAAAAAGGGTTTGTATCATATCGTACTGGTATTTTCCTCTCTTGTATATATTGGAGATTGGAGAGATGTAGGAAGGAAACTCAACTTTATCATCATATCACACTCTGATGGCCGCATATGATACTTTTGGCGCAGTTGCTTATGACTAACTTAACTAACATGCCGGCAAATTTCTGTCTGTCTGTCTATCTGTCTGTCTCTGGCCGAGTGCAGTGCAGTGCAGTGCAGTACAATAGGTTCCCGTACCAATAGATAGAACAGACCAACTTACCAAAAGCCAACTCCGACGGAGGACATTGCACGATATCATAAAGCCGATTACCGGTATTTCTTCCTCCCCCCCCTCAAAGAAAAAACGCGCCAAGATGGATGTATTTACACGTGTACAGTATTTGCACGTGTATATCATATTATTATAAGAGAATTTCCGGCTTGTTGTGTGCACGATGTGACTGTCGGTTACCGCACCGCACCGTAGCGTAACGGTACGGTACTGTACTCGGGTACCTGTTCTCGTGAGTTTACAAGTACCGTAAAGGTTCGCCGGTCTCCAGGAATCACAAAACAAAACAAAAAACAAAAAATGAAAGGTGATTTAGCGGGGTACTGTGCCGTATTGGCATGATATACGATAGGATAGGATACAGTGGTGGACCGATCGCTGCGGGAATGGTAGAATACGGTACAGTACCGGAACCGTAGCAAGAGGAAAGGATTCAAGCAATATCACACTAATACCGTAAAACACCCGAATAGAGATATAACACCAAACCACATCGACGAGCCCAATACGAGTACTTTCACAGCGGGGGTTGATGATCCGAGAATCACTCGCCGCCAGTCACAGTGAGCAAAAAAGCTCCCCGACCAACGACTAGCAATAGCATATAACAATACTCATCGTTGGTGCATGATAGAAGCGGAAACCCCATCTCGGGAACGAATCGGAATGGCTGGGAACCACCTTTTTTGTTTTGCCGGTATGATACCGCACTGTAGCGGTGCAAGTACAGTACTTGTACAGTAGGCAATTACTGTACCATCCATCACGCTGCCCGCCCCGCCGTACGTACATAACCGTACCGAGTAAATCTCAAACCGGAACACGAGCAGATGCGTAAAAAGTATGATGGTGTATCACAAAGTCTCCGAAAGGTGGGTTAGTCTATTCGTACAATACGTGTCAATTCCTCCTGCCGAGTCAAGTTACTGTAATTCCCACGACTTGGTACGGTAGCCGAGGACTAGACTAGACTAGACTAGACTATACACCACACCACACCACACCGCACTGTACTCGAGTGATGCTCATTCGCTTCCACACCTTGTCACGGGAGACTTTAAGAAACGTGAGATGTGAATGTGCTCGTGCTCATACAGACGGGATCATGATGCTAGCTGCTGCTGTACTGTCCTGTAGCATACCGAGTAATACAATCTACTACTCACGGATGCGCTAACACCAACCTTCCCACCTCCCGCCGCAATCAGCAAACGAAACACAAGCCTCAATTCCACAGTACTAGTAGACTACAGCACGACCATACCAATACATCCCCATCTCATGTATCACATTTCATCCCGCCAAGTTACTATAATACCTACAGTACTCGTACCAACCGACCCCATCCGTTCCACAACATCACCCTCGTTCCCCGCCAACAACGCAATTGGACCCCCCCTCGGTCGCTTCGAGCCGAGCAACGCATCACATCGGGCGTGCCGCGCTGTTGGTGCGAGCTTTTTTCTTTTCTTTTTCTCTTCTACTTCTTCTTCTTCCCTCCTCCCCACCTTTGGGATGAGTTGTAATTCGCGGTGTGAGGCTTAAAATTAGAAGTGATGGGGAACACGTCGGGTTGTTTGCTGGCGTTGGTGACGAGGATGATGATGGTGGTGGTGGCGGGAAGGGGAAGGTGGGGGCTGTGGTACTCGAGTACTCGTACTGTACCTTAGGTTATCAGAATGGCACTAGTACGGGTACGAGTTAGCGTGAGGGTTTCTCGGGATGGGATAACCGGTAGCGTACAGTACTCGAGGATTTGTTTTCCGTTTCTTGGCGGCTTGTTTGGGTGTCGAAGGGGGAGTGAATGGGAGGATGAGTGCGTTATCCATCGTGCTGGTATGATTATGATTATGATATAATTGGAATTCACTTTCTCCGTTATTTCGGGGGGGGGGGCGAAGTGCGATACGGCGGACTCGGCCGTCGGTTTAGATATAATGTCAGTCTGTAGAATATCGATGGTATTGTAAGAGTGTTGGTTTATATGGGGATTTTTTTTTCTTTCTTTTTTTTTCCCTGGGAGAGGGAGAGGCATACCGTAGCGTCTTTGCATATCTATCCCCTGCGAGTACGCTACCCCAGTTTTATCTATTTATTTATGGTACGAGTACCGTACGATGCTCTGGTTGGCTGGGGCACTGGTAGAGTGCCTCAGGTTTAGTAAGGCGCCCGAGGGCTGTTTACCGTAACACGGTGGTCGGAGAGGCCTATCGGAGTTGCGACCGCCGTATTGGGTTGGGATTGGCATCGCAACCTTATGTAAACTGCTTGTAGGGATGATGATGAAAGTGTATGGTAACCTAAGGTACAGGTATGAATGAATACTCCGAGGCATGATACAAAGGCTACAGGTACAGTATAGTACCGTGTCCCACGCAGGTGCCTCAAGGCTCACAAGAATAAAGGGACACACCATCTATCACACCCCAGCACTCATACCACCTTATACTTGTAGCATCCGATCCAGAGCCCTATCCAAGCCTCGCATCCCCCCCCCCCCGTCCGCCTTAAACACCAACCTCCGTATCTGCACTTCTCTGCCGATCCCCCATCACCAACCTCCCCCCCTTCCAGCCTTCCCATCCTTCCATCCTTCCATCCATCCTTCCAGATCATCGCGCGGAGCTACTGTAGCTAGAGCAGAGTTCGTAGATCAAACCTATCTAACAGTACCAAGATACTTCCGTTGCCCTACCTGCTGTAACATCTCGAGTACCGTGCTCGCAGCGTCGAAACGCCCCTGAAAATGGACTTGGGCTGCATACCGCCACAATTTATCCCGTTTGCTTGGATCCGGGTGGTGTGCGACAGCACCTCTTCCTGAGAAGGCTTCGACACCGCATCAGGGAGTAAGGGACTGCCCAACTGAGCAACCGTAACGTCACGCAAATCCTCCCACCCATGCATGGTTGTTACCCTGTCTTACCCCTCCCCGATCTCATCGCTCCCTTTCGCGCGCCCAGTGTTTCGCTTACGATAGGCTGGCGATAAGGAAGTGAGGTTGGGGAGCGTAGCCGCTCTACTCATTCGCTGACTCGATCTCCGCAAATTTCGAGGGGACAGAGATGAGAATTTCTTTTTTCCCTCCTTCTCCTTTTTTCTCCCTTCCTCATTCTCACCCGTTTGGAGGAGGACAAGAGAGGGCTTGTGAAAATCGCGTTGCGAGATGGGTCGGGGACCAATTCCTGTTGTCATGATGGGTGCATTATTTTTCCCTCCCTCTTTTTTCTTTTGAAAAGCAAAGCAATAATTTTGAGCGAGAGGTGGTGGGGTGTAACTTAATGTCCGTTCGATCGTCCTGTCGATGGGATACAAGTACTACCGGATGGGGGGTGAGAAGCGGGGGGGCCTCAAGCTGAATCCGCCGATACAGAAGTGCTCGGAGGTGTCGGTTAAAGTGTCGGGAAAAAACGATGGTCGTCTCCGGCAGAGACATGTCTGTGAATTATGTGTGGAGCCTCGATATCGTAATGCCGGTACTGTACTCGAGTACTCGAGTACTCTTGTCCAACGGCGGGCGACAGGTGACTTGGGGCACGAGTGAGCGATGATGGATGAGCGGAGCGGAAGCTTGGCGCGGGAGGACGGGGGGCACAGTTGCTGCTAGTCTACCTTATGATCATGCCATCCGTAAGGCGAGAACGTTGTTGGTTCCTTGCGTTGCCGTGCACATCCAGCGCGACATTCTGCCTCTCGTCGTATCGTGTCGTCAGCAGTGCTTACTAGAATCCCTCCACACGCGCTGTGCCGTGCCATCATCCTCTGAGCTGTTTGCCGCTGCCCTAGGAGCACAGTACGATACGTACAGTATCATCATACTCGAGTACTCGTACAGTACCCTGCCTACGAGTACACCGCGGCCATGCGAACAATGACTTTTTTCCTTTTTTTCCCCCGCGATAGGGTGGGACAATCGACTTGTGTCTGCCCGTATCGACCAACTCATGAATTTCATTGTTCACCGCCGTGCCTCCACTTCTGGCGGCCGTGGTGGTTTTGATTGGCGTTTGGGCATGCCAGCGAAGGGTGTGGATTGGTTCACCATGGCGTGCATGCAAGGTGGGATGGGTGAAGAGAAGGGAAAAACACAATCTCGACCCGTTGGCTCATGCACCATCCACCCTTCGGCTTTTCTGGAAGGATTTTTTTTTTTGCTTTTTACTGTGGGAAAAAAAAAAACAAAAAAAAAACAATGATGATGGTGGGGCAAGAAAAGAAAAAAAAAAAAAAAATACCCGTTCCCACACCATACGGCAAGGGAAGGGTCAATGGATGGATTGGGTTGCAAACACTGCAGCATCAGGCTGAAAACGATGATGGTATGGCGGGCAGCTAGCACCTCGCTACCAGAGTGTGGGAGTACCGTACTCGTGCGCGCTTGCGCGGTACTTGTCGGGGAGGAGGAGGGATTTACACTGAGGACGATGGACGATGGGGGAGGGGTTTGTCGTGATCGGTGTCGGTTGATGGAGGGGGGTTGAAATTAAAATTACCGTAAATTGGTTGGCGGGCGAGGCAGAATCACAGTAATGACGGATGGAGGTTGGGGAAGGGGTAACACGGCACTCTACTGGTACAGTACTGTACCTTAACGTTAGGGAAAGGGAAGGGGAAGAGGAAGGGGAAGGGGAAGGGGGAGGGAGATGTACGGGTATAGTTTATCTCATGAGCTACGCTTACACTGCAATACGATCTTACTCTCCGGCACGGCACTCGAGTGCTCCACCAGCCCGCTGGACGTGTTACGGGTGGGATGGGGTACCATACAAGTACTCGAGTACTTGTATAATACTCTCCCGGCATCATACCGGCACCGGTGCTGGACGGGAGCAGCAGGATCGAGAGGAAACCCCCAGGATGGGAATCGCCAGAGTTAGGCAATCCACTGGGCCCAACCACCCATTCCGCTCCCCTCTATAAGCCACGATAAGCCTGGCGCCGAGGGAGGCCGAAAAGAAGCTCACCAGGAGGGAGGCCTGTAACGTACTGTACAGTACCGCACCATTCACCCGCTCTCGAGATTGACCGTTGCACGATGCTTTCAAAAGCGACCACCGATGATGCTGTCGCACCGATTCCATCCATCGTGCTGTGCGAGTACGGCAGGTTACTGTGGTGCTCCCCACCCTCCCCTCAGTCAATTCCTTCCTTCCTTCCTTCCACCACCACCACCTCTCAGCGCCAACCACCCCGGAAACGATAATGGCCTCCCCCAGCCTGCGAGCGAATGCTCCATCCTTTTTCCCGTTCACTCCCCTCCTCCATCCATTTCGCGCGCCCAGCCCATCCTACGCCATACCCCAACACCTACGTATCCCTCTACTGGACGAGGTGACCCTATGGCTTGGTAGGGATATCGGGTATGCCAGCTCACTTTGCAGGGGAAAAATGCGGTAATTGGACGCTTCGACCTGGCAATGGGTGCGTAACGCCGGCTTCACTCTGGCTGGTTTTTTTCACTGGGGGATGGGATGTGTATGTGTACTGTATGCATGTACGAGTACTGTGCTCTTTCGCTTTTCCTTTTCTTTTTTTCCCTTTTTTTTTTTTTTTTTTTTTTTTCCTTGTGCACTCTTCCCCCTCTTGCAGGAGGAGCAAGGCCGGCGCAGTGAATTCCTCGTTACGCTTGTTACGGAGTGGAGGTAGATATCCACTGGAAGGTACACTCTTTCCCTCTCCCTTTTGCTCCTCTGTGGACGCGGTGGAAGGGCTGCAACGAGCAGGTTTCGGGCATGAAACGGATTTCTCATAGGATTGGTGAGGGGATTGGATTGTGAGGAGGGAAGGGAAATGCGAAGGGCTGCGCATTGGGGTGATGGGTGCTGAAAGAAATCCATATCCTCAAGGCTCCCTGGGCTTACTCTTTCGTATCCACAGTCAGTCTTCTTCACCTTGGTAGATTACTGTACCCTACCCGCTATCAGACATAGGGATTTGCGGTGACATGTACTGAGCTAAAAAAGAAATTCGTCCATATTATCATTGTCCTTCCATTTTTCCCCTTTCCAGCCTTTGACCTTTTCTTTTCTTCTTCCTCTCTCTTCCTCTTCTCCTCTCCTACCCATCACACGCGTTTACAGTGCGATAACCTAAGCCTTGTAAGATACTTCCTCCCCCTTCCTTTCTCCTGTATTTGCTAGATAATCTCTTGCGCTCTCACACACAATTTCACTCTCCTTTTTCCGATATTTCGATTTCAACCCTTTTCGCTGCTTACTACTATTGTTGTGTCCCGTTTAATCGACCCCACCACCGGTTGCCGTTTCACTCCCGCAACTATTACCACGGCCACTGCTAGACTACCGTGCTTCCTTCTTCCCCCTCGCCCACCTCCGTCCTCCACCTTCTCCCTCTCTGGTCCTTCATTTCGTCCTGTTTATTTGGTTATTTCATTTTTTTTCCCCCACTCTCCTTGCTGTCTCTCTTGATCCGAGTCTCTCCACTGCCCATTTCCTTTTCATCACTTTTTTCCCTGTCCATCTCTCTCTCATTTTACCGGATTGCCATTTCCTTCTCCCTCCATTTATATCGTTTCTCCGCTTCCCAAAGATCCACTGCCGGCCGCTGCTGCTGCTGTCGGCTGCCCATTCACGGCACCTCTGTGTGCGCTGGATTTGCGTTGGCTATCTGAGGCTCTCTCCCCATTGCCGCAACTGCTTCTCGCTCACTCCGCTCCGCTCCCTTCTGATCCATCTCGCTCTTGATTGATGATGCTGGCCTTGTTCTTGTCTCGCCCTTGCCTTGGTTAACGAGCACGCCGTATCCTTTCCACTGCCGCGACAACAACTGAACCACTGCTACTTTACAACTGCCACCACTGCTGCTACAGTACTGAATTCTTTTCTATCCTACTCCCCCCCCCTCTTTCCGATCGGACCAAGTGGAGGAGGGAGACAAAAGAGAAAAAAAAACAAAAAAACAAGAGGAGAAAAAAAAAAATAGGGAAAAAGGACCCCTCCCTTGCGGATATCACAGACATTCCACATATGCCCATTTGCTCTCTGCTCCGTCCAGGCACTCTCCCCATTCATCTCTCCAGGGCTTGTGAGGCGAGACAAGGAGACCGATTGTGATTCCTCCGTACCCCTCGAACTGAACTGACGGGCACAACCAACTTTATAGTCCCTCCGCCCACTCTCCCGAGCGTGGAGAGTGTACCAAGAAGTATGGCTCTTCCCCCCCCCCCGATACTCACAATTCCAATCCCGTCCCTGCAAGCTTCCCTAATAGATTCCGTAAAGGCCGTGCTCCTGCCGCTGATACTACTACTGCTACTGCTGGTGCTGGTGCTGTCGCTCCTTTGCTGGCCGTCACTGCTACTTTACTGTTCTGGGATACCGGATGCCGGACGCTATTCTGGAGCCATGCTGGTGGTTACCCCACCATCTTATTATTATTATTATTATCACTGTTATTATTGTTGTTGTTGTCGTTATTATCCCTTTACACATGACACATTTACGCGCACACATACACACAGACATCTTTTTTTTTCTTTTTTCTTTTTTTCTTTTTCCTTCTCCTTCCTTCTCCCCCGTGCAGTCGCGTCCTGACCCAGACATCGGCGGCGCTTGCAGGGGCATCTGTGGCGCACTACCCTTCTTTCACCATCCTTCACCAGTTTTTCGTCCGAAAGACACCAAACCCACAACAATCCGTTACTCTCGCAATAACCTTCCCATTCGTACACCGGATTCGTGTCATCCACCACCCGTTCCCCTTTTCGGGGAACTCTCAATCATCCTCCGCATCGACCGCAAAAAAAAAAAAAGGAGGGCAAAGCACACGGGGGATAGGGGAAAACTTGCGGGATCAACACCACCTAGAAGGAAGCAGCAGCAGCAGCAGCAGCAGCAACGGAAGTAGCAGCGGCACGGGCGCGGATATACCGCAATCATTGAGGAATAGGATTGGCTGATCAATTGCATTTTTTTATGACTCTTCTAGAAAATATTTTCCCCGGTTACAGTTAGATGAACCTCTGCTGCATGGGCATGGCACTATCCGCTCCTCCTGACAGGCCGGCCGGTAAGGTCGGCTTCGTCTCCAAAGTACGAAGGAAGCTGAATTGGCCTCGCCGTGGGAGCAATCCCGACAGGGGGCCGACAACACCGGATAACAGGAATTCCGCAGGTAATGGGAATGTCATTGACACACCTAGGCCACCAACCGTTGCCCGTCAACAATCTGAGGTGAGAAGTCGTCTGAGACCTGTAGAGCTCTCGCCCACGGAACGTAGGAGCGTGCCAGCTGTGCCGGGCTTCGCATCACATTCTTCGAGGAGCCTGCAAGCTGCCCCGGTTCAACCTGTAGTGACCCCAGAGGAAGCCCCGGTGAAGGAGGAGGAAGAGGGGGAGGAAAGGGCGGAAGGGGAAGGACGGCTGGGCCTTTTACGGAGCGATGACCATATGTTCACGCCACGGACTGGGCCGAGAGAATCTGAACCATCGGTTCCGCCTCCGGCGCCGCCGGCTCCTACGGACTCTGTAGGTGGGCTGTCCGCGACGGATGATGGCGTGGAGGGTGATGTGACGAGGTCGCCTGTTGATGACGAGCTGGATTGGAAATGGATCCTCAACCTGAGTATGCACTTCCGCGATCAATCGGACCGGGAAAAGTTTTTCGTGACTTATGCCGAGACACCGACTCTTCGACGTAGGCTTACAGTATCCTGCGATTACCGGGACGCGGAGGAGGGTACCTTGGAAAGGGAATTGGCGATGCTGAGATACCAACGGGACAAGAGCGCGAAGATATATGACGCTATCAGGGACTCATTGAGCGATATCCAATTCTACGATACCATTACAAACCTCAAGCTACAAACCAGTGGTGGGAGGCTCCATGTCCATGTTACCGAGGACCTGCATGAGATCATCCCGTATCCGCCCGTCGTTGCCATCGCGCACTTGCAATGCCCCAAGTACAAGGAATCCGAACTGGAATTCGACTCGCATCTCTCCGGGTTTGTCTACAAGGTCAGGGTCAGTGGAGATGTGTTTATCAAGAAGGAGATCCCGGGACCTGATACGGTGGATGAGTTTCTGTACGAGATCAATGCGCTATATGCGCTGGCCGACTCCAACAATGTCATTCGTTTTGGCGGGTGTGTGGTGGATGAGGGCCGAAAAAAGGTCAAGGGGCTCCTAATCAGTTTCGCTTCCAAGGGGGCTCTCATCGACATTATATACCATGAGCGTGGAAGGCTTTCCTGGGAGACTCGGGAGAAGTGGGCAAAGCAGATTGTCTCTGGCCTTTCGGAGGTCCATGAAGCCGGCTATGTTCAGGGGGATTTCACACTGTCCAATATCGTGATTGATGAGAATGATGACGCCAAGATCATTGACATCAACCGCCGGGGGTGTCCGGTTGGCTGGGAACCCCCGGAAGTTACTGCCATGATTGACGGACTCCAGAGGATTGGAATGTACATTGGAGTCAAATCTGATATTTTCCAGCTTGGCATGGTGCTTTGGGGGATTGCGCATGAAATAGATGAGCCGGAGGCTGTTAAAAGGCCATTGGGCATGGGTGAAGCCCCTGGTGATGTACCGGACTACTTTAGAGACATTGTGGAAGCCTGCCTATCTGAGCGGCCTCAGGGCCGACCGTCCGCTAAGGATTTGATTTCGTTGTTCCCTGAGCACAGCCAACCTTCCCCTCGCTACATTGACAGGACGCCACACTATGGGGAGGGGAGCGGCTCTTTTGTAGCCCTGGATGGGGGAACCTATTTTCCAAACGGCTACTCAGTGGGGCCCGGACAGCCTTATGCGGAGGCCCCTCGGGAAAACAGCGGGCAAAGCATGTCAGGGGTGAACAGGGATGGCGGTATCGTTAGAACGGACGGATTGCTCCTTAACGGAAAGGTCAGGCCCATCAAGTTCCCCCTAAATAGCGCCCTTTCGAAGCCCCAAATCTGACGGAGTGATTGAGTATGAAATAAAACAGCTGCCACAGAATTCCAATAGCACCTACACTCCATTCCCCCCGCATGAACTCGGTAGCCACATGACAGGCAGCCGTCGCCCACTAGTAGGCGAGGAAGCCCGATCCGACGCCAGCAGTAGCAACCGTCCCATATCCCGCGACTCATTCGAAGATGCACCGCAAGTGATCGAGGCGGCACCCAGTGAAGCAAGCGGGGAAGAGCCGTACATACCAAACAACATCGGATCCGTAGTCCCCTTATTACCCGCGAGCCTGCCCCCGCCACCACCACCCCAACCGTTTGTGGGGCCACCGTCAGGGAGTTGCGCGACTGCGAGCGACCACTTTGGGGATGGGTCCGACCGGCCGAGATACACGCCTGCTCCTCAACCCCGACGGCTGCCGGGTTCTCCTTCTTGGGGGAGTGGAAATGCGAGGGGGATGCCCATGAACGAGGACTATATGAGCCGGGATCCGCAGGGGGCGGAGTCACCCGGGAACTCGCCTATATCGCTGACGTCCCCTCCACCGCCGCCATTACCATTGCCTATACCTACCACGGGACCTGGGCTTGCGGTTTGAACTGGGCGTTTTCGCTCTCATCGTTAAAATGACCTTTTCCGAATATGATACTTGGTTTGGATGGCGACGCTGTATAGACGCCTGGGATAAATTATTGGGGATCACGATTGGGCATTCGATTTCTCAAGTTCTCGTACTTTTTCATTCTGTTTTGTTGCTTGGTTAGGTCTCGTCATCTGGTTATTTTGCTTGTTCATTGGGATGTTTGTCTTTCCGCTTTTATTGTCGTTTCACTTTTTGATTTTGTGTTTTTTTTTTCCCACCGCTGGAATAGTTTGATAAGGATACACTTTTTTTTTGTCCCTTTCGCTGTTTGCTGTTTTTGTCATCATCTCGCGCTACGTACTCGTTTCGTTATACCCACACCCCCCCTCATACCTTGCTTCAATTTCAATTTTTCAGCGTTTTGCTATTGATTCATCATAACTAGGTTATTCAATCTTTCCTTCTTTCCTTCATTTCTTGCTTCCCGCATCATCGTCGTCACCATCCCCTGCGGGGGGAACGATAAAAAAAGTTTTCTGTCATTGCTTAACTTTACTTGACTATCTCACTAATTTCATTTGTTATTCAAGTTTATTTATCCATCTTGTCCTGCCGTGTCTATGTTGTGGTTAATATCACGTTGTGATTTGTAGGTAGCGTAATTTTGCTTGGCGCAGTCGTTTTTTTTTCTTCCATTTGTTGTTTGGATCTTTGATGGGTAGCAAGTTGGGGCGGACGGGCAGAGGTGTCAGGATTGCGGGGGAGAATTTGCATAAGCATGGTAATGAGTATATGATGGAACGTTTCTTTTGTATTTAGTCTGGGTTGTGCAGAGGGCGTATAGGAAGATAAGAATGAGGAAGAGGAGGAAGGGGGGGAAGAAAAAGTCACGCAGTAGAAATTGTACTTTTTTCTTCTTCTCCTAGCTAGTGGGGATTGCGAAAAATTTTGTGCGAGTGATTTTCGTGACTCGGGGGTTGAGCATGAGGGAAGAAACGAAAGTATGCAGCCCAGTGCGGTACCGCAGACCACATTACAGGACCTTTCCCTCCAACCGTTGGTTCTAGTGCCGGAATGAATAGATATCATAGTCCACAGTGGGGTACTGTACGAGTACAGTACAGGACGAGTACTCGAGTACAGTACAGTTACTCAGGCAACCCACTATCGAGCCAGTAATCACACACAAGTCTCCAAACTATACTCGCATGATACCAGCACAGTACTCTCACCAATCTACTAACGCAACAGCAATTGGGCTACCATCCGAGCCTCATCTCCCTCACCTCAAGCGCGATACGGTAGTAACGGCAGGGCAGAGCACGGCACAGCACAGCACAGTATAGTGCAGTAGTGTAGCGCCAGGTTCCGGTACGAGCGGTGCGGAGGTTGGGATGATATCTTGGTAGTGACGAGCTTAATACTGTAGAAAGAGGAAAAAAAAAAGTAAACTACGGTTTTCTGGAAGGGAATTGCTTGGAGTTTGTTGGTTGGTTGTGTGTGTATGTACGATACTACAGTTACTTATTTCATTTATTCTATTTATTTATTTATTCGCCCCGGAGGGATTTTTGCCGGAACGAATGGGTGGATGGATGGGGGTGTCTGGTATGATCGATCCGTTCCCGTTTCGCTGTGCTGCGCTGCTGGAGGGACGGACAAGGGCGGGGTGGCTGGACCGTGTGCGGTGGTTGCCTTGCCCGGCGGAGATAATTATGGTGTGATATGGTGTGATGCTGCGCACCGCGAGAGAGCAACGAACCCATCGTACAAATTGCAAAAAAGAAAAGGGTAAAAAAAAAAAAATAGAGGGTGAGAAGGAGAGTGGAGAGGGGAGTTTAGGATGGGCGGCATTTCCCCGAGTACCTACTGAGATAGGTAGTGATGATGATGATGTTGTGGGAGGCAGAGAGCCGTGAAGAAAAGGACTTATCATAGTCTCTCGCAGCACAATAATTAAATCGCCATGGTAAAAATTTATTACAATGTTATCGTACTGACTTGATATATAGACACTTCAACCATCCAACATACCGTCCAAACATTCTCTCAATAATGATAAAAAAAAAAGCGCTCCGGAACCCCTTCCCATTTATGTGTTCTATCCTATTGACAAAGAATTTTACTTCACCAAGGGGATGGGATTATCCTGTCCACCAAGAGGATATCTCCTTGGAAAAGCAGAGAACTTGCCCTGTAGGATAGCCTACTCATCAAGTTAAATTTTCCCCACCCCACCCACCAAGTGGAATACATTAAATTTTTTTTTTTATATTCTACTAATTCTCTTCTTGTCTCCTTATTCCCTTCCTACCCCATCCATAATTCAACAATTCACACCTTATTCTGAGAAGGTATTTGATGTGAATACTATTATACCTGTCGATTTCTGACCTATCAAAAACTTTTTTTTTTTTTTTCATTTTCTTGGTTTGTTTGGAATACAGGAGGAGGTGGTGGTAAGAGGTTTCTTTACTCTGTTAACAAGTTATAGCATACCCATTAAAGCCATATAGTCCTTAAGTGTTTTGGTTGATTTGTATGGGATAGAGTCTGTCTCACCCCTCCCTTTCATTTCTGTTATTTTTCTTTCCCTTCATTTATTCTCTTATTTCTTCACGCAAGCTGTTATTTTCCATCCAATGAATGACAGATAAAATTATTCTTGCAAACTGCAATCAAAAAAACTTAAAAGTTTTCTGCCCTGTCCTCCATCTATTCCTTTGTTCTCCACTCCATCACATCCTCTATTCGGTTCTCTATTTGGTAATTATCTGTTCCCATATTTAATTCTTGAAAAAAAATAATTGTTTTTTTTGATAAACAAATAACTAAAGTGTTTATTCAATAAGAAGTCTAAAAATGTATCAGAATCACTTTTCTACCCATACCAGTAGAAATGCAATGAGAATAGCTTCTAAGACGTACTAGTACTATTATTCCTATAGAGTTTGGTGTTTTACTATTACGTCACTTTACACAAAAGCTTTGTTAGTGGGATAGGTAAAAATTTCCTTTATGTGTAGGATAACCTGCTAGGAAAGTGACCTACTTGGCCAAGAGGATATCCCCTTTGCAAAGTAAAATTCTTTGCCGGTGGGATAGAACATAATATGTATTTTTATTTTTTTTGTGATGCGTCCTCTTCCGTCATGTTATACTCCGTCACACCGTCCACACGGGTTCGGTTCCTGTGTGGGAGCGGTTTTGCGCTCAGGTGGGTATCGCATACTACACTCGCCCGCTCCAAATACAACAAACAAGCACTCCTCACCCGTCGTTTCCCCCCCTCCCCGGCACTGACTGCAGAAGGAGTGTTTGCGTGTGGAGTTGAAGGTGAAGGTGAGGGTGGGCATGGGGTGTAATATACGGTGCGCGTCGGACGGACGCCGGGTTCTCTCGCCGTATCCCTTGTCGGCTGTGACGATTCCAAGGCCTGCACCTCTACTATGATATCGTATCGCGCCTGACACGAACACTTATAGCGAACGCACAGCCGAGTGATGATGTGTGATCGGCCTGTGTGCCGGAGTTGGTGATACTTTCGGGGTACTGTAAGTACAAAACTTTGTTCCTTCGTACAGTGTGTAGATTCGCATGTTACATAATATGGAGAAGGGAGAGAAAAAAAAAGCCACGGGTGTTATCATAACTCGAGTCTTAGATCGGATTATGCACCGAAACCCCCCCCCCGCGCCAAAATCTCAAGATATGTGACCAGATCAAGTCCCTGATTTTAAGGGTAAAAACCATAATTTGGAACTGTAAGAGACACACTAACCTAACCGCGCCCACTGTGTACCCCTCTCTCCATACTGGAAGGTCGCTGAAGCTGCAGCTTCTGAGCCACCGACAAAGCGTAGGGACGTGGTATTGGGGTGGAGGCCCACGGTAGCGCACCATGATAGCGGGCTAGGGAGTGATAGTGGGCCAAAGAGGAGATCACGGCGTGAATGGAACTGAGGGTGAAGTGAGAGGAGTCGTTCGTGTCTTCCACAAGAAGCAAGGAAAAAAGAAACTAGAAAATACAAGGAGAGAGAAGGTAGCCATCATAGAGAGGGCTGACCTTCTCAGCAATAACCAACAAAACAAAACAGTCACCCAACCAAGCAAAAGGGCTCACACTCTCTGCCCTGACATCCACATATCTGCTTCCCCACATATCTATCTGCATAGCGGCTGCCTCTCCACATACTGCTGTTGGGATTATGCCATCACACCAGTGCCCAATGTGCCCAATTTTGGTGACGGGAACTTCGCGCTTCGAGCGCTGGTGACGCTGGGGGATTTAAGTGCCAGTCCTTTAACCCCCTCTTGGAGATTCCGTGGATTCTCAGGAGAGTTTCGGTGACCCTCCTGTTGTACCACTCACAAGCAATATACAACGGGGTCCTTCCGAGATGGTCCTCCGCATTGACATCTACTCCTCGGTCTCGCAGGATCACTTCGACAATCTGGATATCGCCCTGCTTGGCGGCGCAGTGTAAAGGTGTCATGCCAAAGTCGTCGGTAGCCTGCACTTGACCGCCTCCCCGTAGCAGCGCCTGCACCACCCCCATATTCCCCCAGGTCGTGGCAAGATGCAATGGTGACTTCTGGGCGATGCATCTATTGTTGACGAGGTTCGGGTTAGACTCCAGCAGGTCCAAAACTATATCGGGGTTCTGGCCCTTCGCTGCCCAATGCAAGGCATTGTTGTTTTGGTAGTCTTTATCTGCGGGATCAAATCCTCTTGCCATGAGGAGCCGAACGATGTTCCTATTCCCGCACTGGGCTGCTATATGAAGCGCGGTTTTCCCATCACTATTTTTGGCCTTCACATCCGACTCCATCCTCTGAAGTAGCATCGCTACAACCTCCTCCCAGCTCCATGTTGCTGCCCAATGAAGGACTGTCATTTTTTCTTTATCAACTAGGGCGAGGTTGGATCCACCTTCAACAAGCGCCATGAGCACCGGTTTTGATCCAAATTCGGCTGCTCGTTGCAGTGCTGTTCGCCCGTCTTTATCCCTGACATCTAGCATGGCTTGGTGCGTGGTCAGGAGGCGCACGATCTCAGCCTCACGATACCTTGCGGCCAGGTGTAAGGCCGTTTGGCCATCTTTATTTTTGGCGTTGACATTGACTGACTTTCGCTTGAGCAGATATTTCACAACATCGGCCCAGCCCATCGACGTGAGTAAATGGAGAATGCTGTTTCCATCCCGGTCTATTTCATTGGCGCCAACTTCATCATCATCCAAACACATCTTAGCCAGGTCTCTCCAATCTTGCCTAATGCAATGTTGAAGCGGCGTTCTTCCCTCTGAATCCGTCACCCTCAACCTGGCTCTTCTCGACTTGATGATATTTCTAGTTATGGACTCTTTACCCCAGTAGGCGGCGATTAGAAGTGGAGACGTTCCCTTTGGATCTTCGCAGTTCAGGTCTACTCTTGGATCAAGTATCAGTCGATCTAAAATACCCCAATCGCGGTTGATGGCTAGGTGGACAAGCGCTATGCCGTCTCTATTGCGTATATTGAGGTCGACTCTTCTTTCTGTAAGGAAAGGCTCGATCCCGCCCTCCTCGGCGATCCTCATGGCATAATGCAGCGCTGTCTCCCCAAACATTGTTTTTGCATTGACATCAACTCCTTGGTGCTTGAGAAGATATCGAAGGATATTCTGAGGGTGTGATCTAGAGCCCACGGCCACGTGAAGCGCGGTTTCGGTGTTGGAATTTATCTGATTCATATGTTTCATTTTGGGCCCAAGCACGAGGAGCACATTAAAAAGCTCGTATTTTACAATAAGGTGCAGCAAAGGTGGTGGATCCCTCGGGCTCTTGCCGAGCAAGCTGCGCCGCAACTGGTATTCAAAGGCGAATTTGTATTCGCTCTCCGTAAGCCTTTGCACTAACTTCAGCACTTCTTCCGCCCCGGCTTTCGATACCAAAGCTGCGTGCTTGGGCCAGTACTCTGCACAATACTTGACGAATGGAAAATTTTCAGTATCTGCATCGACATCGTTTGTAGAAAAATATGCTCTCCTGAGGGAGGGCGCTTGGCGGATGTCAAAGCCGTCGAAATTGAGATAAGTTAGGCAATTGACAGTCAATTCCAACGAGGCCGCATTGGCATCAAGCACGAAGTCTCCACCGTCTTCGAATCGATCTTCCGGATGACCAAGTGATGACACCAGAAATTCTCTCGTAGATTGATGTAGAAGGCTCACACCCCCGTTCCGAATGTTTATCAGATCGCCGCACAGGGAACGGAGCCTTTTCTCTGGATTGAATCCCAGGTTTTCCTCAAGATCAAAATGCGAGGAATGGAAGGGCCGAAGAGCGAGCACAACATTTAATTCCTGAACTTTCAATGGCCGAAAAGCATGGACCAGCCAGGTTAAAAGGAGCCTGGTCTTAGGTTGCTTCGATTTCGAAATCCTTTTCAACATAGTACGGTATAACGCATCGAGACCGCGAGGGAGGTGTTCGAGCTCATTGATCCGGGCCTTGATCGAGGCCCTGCTCCAATCGTCGTCACCTCCCACAAAAGATGTCCACGCTAATGTCGCCCACAAAAACATGCCATCTGACCTTGTCTTAAGTGCTTCGATGACGGCATCCCTTTGATCGTCAGGAAAGTCATTCTCTGCAGCGAACTTCCCTACGGTTTCGGAAAGGAAGCTTTCGATATCTTTCTGGGATCGAGCAGAACTCAGCTCGATCTTTCCAACCCAAGCAGGTGAAAGCAGACGTTCTATATCAAACTCCGGTCGGCTCACCACAGCCACCTTCAGCGCAGACTGTGTACCTGTACTGAGCACAAGATCTATGAGACCTTGTACGAGATGTGGAACATCGGTGGCTTGGAGCTCGTCGACACCATCGATGACTATACGTATCTCTCGAACGGACGTCGCGCATATCTCCCCCAAGATCTTCCATAGAGTTGGGACTGTGGTGGAGAAGTTTGTCATGAATCCTAGCCTCTCCATCTCCATATACTTTGACACGTGCCCGAAAAATCCCGAATTTCGAGCGAGAAGCTGGAAGATGATTGAGCGGAGGGTGTTTAACTCTGTTTTCCTTGATTCATCTTTGCCGTCGCAATGGAAATACGCCACCAGTGGGGTCTCCTGGCGTTCGCACCGTTCGATGATATACTTCGACATGACTGTTTTACCAAATCCCGGAGCTCCATATAACCATAGTAGTTTCGAGCTTTTGCTCATTTCCCATTCGCCAAGTTGGGACTCATTAGATATCCATTCGCAAGTTCCCTTGTGCCTGGCAGGAATGGCTTGCAGAATACTAGAAAAATCCACACAGGCTAGCATCCGGAGGCATTTTTCCTGGTCCCGGCTTCTACTTTCTAATGGGGTCACAGTAATGAGCTCATGCTGTCGCTTGTGAACCTGATATTAATGTAAAGGCTATGCCTACGTACTCGACTCTGCAGCGGCTGCACGGTCTACCTGGATACTTGAAACCATATCCGATATAGCCACCCATACCGGACGATATTTTTCGCTCTTGGCGTGAGAGAACTTGCAAATCTCTCTGTGGTTTGCATTCACGGGCACCGGTCTCTCGTTAGGAAGGTCAAGAATTGCAGAGTCCATATCGACAACCTTGTACGAAGAGCATTAGTTGGCTCAAGTAACTAAAAAAAATGAAGGCAAATACTTCTCACAAGTTTCTTTAACGGAGCGGTGATTTCTTGCTCATAGAATGTCACGATCTGCAAGCCAGATGTGCGATACTTGAAGGAGCTGGTGATTTCTTGCAGGGCACGGGAGTTGGTCCCAAGATCTTTCAAAAGATCCGAACGCATCCGCGTGCCAACAAGGACACTGTCAATGATCGAAGTGAACATTTTTGTCCAGTCCGCAATTGTGGAACCACGATGTGGTGTGCCCATAAAGACTATGCCGAGTGTTGACTTTAGGATTTCCTGATACATAGGCTGCTCGTGAGAAAGGACGAGCGACTCCAGCGTTCGGATAATATCAGTATGGCCATATTTAGAGTGATCTCATGATTGGCATACCCTTTTGCAAACTATACCTCCTAGGCTATGACATATGAAAATGATTGGTCGGGTTGACTCCTAGAAAACACAAACATTAGCGCATTCGGTGGGCGCAGTTGGAGATATATCGTTTACAGTTAAATGCCTCCGGAGGCCCTTAAGCCTATTCAGCAGATCACCCGCAAAAGTTGATATTCCGGCAACACTTTTACTGAAAGCGACGCCAGAATTATAACCAAAGGTCATAATTCTAGCTCCCGGTATTTGCTCGGGGAGAAAGTCTCGAATCCAGCAAGCGCCACTCTCATGCGTCCACGTTTGTAACCTATCTCCCCCCAACCCGTGCAGAGCAACAATGCTTAGGGCCGTCAGTATAGGGCCAGGGAGACTCTTGGTTCGAAAACCCAGAGGAACACGCTTACTCAACTACCGCATCCCTATTCTCCGGGGTCACTACAAATAAACCAAATCTTTCCTCCTCTCTCTCATTTTCCTCCTGTTCGGGTCCCTCGTCCTAGGTTTCATCAGCCTGCTGCTCAGCGGTCGGAACAAACGCACAAACCGTAGTTTCCGCAGACAATTCAGCCTGCAGATCACGGCCCATGTCAGTCAAGTCGCTAAATAGGTCCTGTATTACGGTATACAGATAGTTGGGAGGGCAATTCACTTACATTAGCAGTTTCCTTCTCTTTCTTTTTAGACCCGGCTGTACTACCGCTCGCCTCGCTGCCCACTCGATCTACCTTTGCCTGTCCCTTGTGCTTGTTCCGGATCTTCCGGATCTTCCGGAGATAATCCATGACCGGTTCTGTAGTATAGGGTTTTCGCCGTTGGTGGGTATGCCCGGGTTTGAACTAATACTCGCGTTGGATACTGGCGAGTTCGGATGAGGAGTTGTCGAACGTAGCGAAATGCGAATATGTAAGTAGTGTTCAGCCCCTGTAGCACAAACATTTCTCTTCGGGTATCCCATGGGCGGTCTGAAACAGTCAAAAATCGTCAGAGTGCGCTAAGGATAGATTTGGCAACAATCAACTAAACTTGGTTAGAAAATCTGATCCTGGGTTCTTTAAAGACTCAAATGACTCAGCACTTGTACCAAGCCCTAAAATGCTCAGCAAATCACAAAGCTCGAATCATTTTTTGGACTGTCTTAGTGTGCCCGTGACGATTTTTGACTGTTTTAGACCGCCCAAGGGATAGCTAAATTTATTATCGCTGGCTGGTCCTCATCCCAACCCAGGGGAGCCCCAAACTAGAGATCAGGAGAAATATGGTATGAAAAAAAATTGCCCGAATCTGAGCGCCAATACAAAGCATACCCCCTGTTTCCTGGTGCCTCTGGCCCGAGACAAGCACCGAATTTTCCACAATAATAATCGGGTGCGCATTGGCTCACAGAATGGTGGTATATGGTATCGTAGGGGCTCAACAGTATTTGAATAAAAGCTTAAGCATAATTACCCGGTATAGGTCCCTAAAATCTAAGTACTGTACCGGTGAAAGTGAAAATCTCTTGCAAAACTGTTACGGGTAATAAATTTCTCTTTGGGGGGTTGGGGTTTCATATGACCAGTTTTCCTTCCTAACAGCATCTACAATCAACCCTTGCTCCAATCATTGACAGCTCCGCTGGAGATTGAAATACCGGTTCTGTGCAGTACCGGGTACCGTAGAAACCCGAATATTACGACCAAGTGCTAATCGTTGGAGCTACCCCCTCTGGCAATGCTTGATGCCTTTCCTGTTTTTTCAAGTTTCTACCCCGCCGCCACCACCAAAGAAACAAGTCCCGACAGGTTGCGCCTCTAGGATACTCCAGACCCCATAGGAAAGTCCGGGGGTACGGTTCCACCACATTGCATTCTTCAGGGACACAATACAGTCAACCGTTTACTGGCGCAGACATGCTCGTGAAATTAGTCAGGAGGCAGCTGCAAGGAATGATACTCTCTGTTCCAATTCAGCGCATTTCCCTCCGATTATATCGTTCGCTGCTGCTTCTCCAAAATACCGTCAGCATGTGTACCCTCCTTTTAAAGCAAACCACCTCCGGTGACGCATTGGAAAGCTAACAAAAAAAACCATGCGGAAAACATACCAGTCCCCATATCCTCCAGAGCCTTTAGATGTAGAGAGTATACCAGTAGAGTGGAGCTCGAAAGGGTTTTCCAGTAAACATAGGCGAGATACTGTGCGATTCCCGGGGGCCGCGGTATATCATACCGGACTTACTCCTGACGCAGCAGGCTCGCACGCGAATATTCGGGGGTGTGAGAAAGGGAGACCAAGAAATGGAGTAAGCTAACGGTGCAGTTTTCTCGTGGAAGCTATCCATCCATCCGTAAAAGCACACCCTGAACGCGATCACCGCCCTCTAAAAGGCCCTAGTTCGGAGCTACCCAATCTTTTGAAGCGCGGGAATGCCATACCGGTATTCGTACACCCCTGGGCACGGGCAATGGCGGACGATGAAGACGAAAGATTTGGTACGAAAGAGGGGGACCCTTTTAACAAATCAAGAACTCGGCTGGACTGCGGCTAAATGGATTCGAGGTCAAGGTACCGGGCGAGAGGTTGGCTGGAGCCTCCAAGGAACTCTTTGTGCCAACCCTCCAGCACAACTAACCAGTTTACTACACGTAACACATCGTACCTCCTGATCACCTATCCCTCAGCCGAACCAGACTGGCACCTTTCAGGCGGAGGATCGACGTTGCGATCTCCTCATCCATGATACCCCTAGGATATGCAACACTGGGCCTCCGAGCTTTGTCAAAAAAAAGGGGGGGGTGGGAGGCGGGGTGGGAAGCGCCAATGATCAAACCAGCCACTTTAAAGAACAAAAATTCTAGAAACCTTCTGCAATAAAGATTATCCGAAAACAGGACTAGAAAAGCTATGGGATCGGGGAAACTTGGATTCGAAGACGGAAGAACCAACCCCCCCCCCTCGAAAAAAAAAAACAATAAAATAAACAGCCAAAACCGAGCAAAATACTGAGCCCATACTTCCGCAGAGAACAACAGCCCATAACAGCCCATCTCGGACCAGACCAGCGTTCCCAAGAGCCCACCCCTCGAACCAGCACAATTCCACCCCCCCCTCGCGGATCACGGCGGATGCAGTAGCACACATTCTCCAAGCAAAAAGTTTCCGACCCGACTTAGCGGGCCACGATACCCCAGTGTGAAAGTCTCGGAATACCAACTCCTGATCCGTCCATCCCCCCCCCCTTCCTCAATCTACTATATCATACTTCACGGGTATCGTACGGGACCATACGATACGAGCACTGTAGAGCACAGAACCTTACAATCACATTACACGACACCGTTCCCACAATTCCGCCAAGCGAGGAAAAAAGGGGGGTAAAAATTCCCTATGGTATGATACGGTACGAGATCACTCCACCGGACACAACCCCGAGTCGTAGTCCACTCCGATCCGGTTCACCCGACCAAGACCCACCGGACCCACCGGCATGCCGCACCATCCATCCATCCATCCATCCAACTAAATCACAATAAACCCAAACTAACTCTAACTCGCCACCACCACAGCCCCCACCAACCATCCTCGGCCAACCAATGGAGCCCCAGAAACACCGGCCAAGCCGCCGTTACCAAGTCGCCGAGTTTTTCGACGAACGGCCCGGTCCCGCACTAGCCGTAGGGACTTTTAAGGGTCCATACGGACAGGCACACACGCACGGCACCACGCGACCATATATGAAAGGTGGGGGAAGCGTAGCCATTCGCTTGGTCCAGCAGCTAGTAACTAAGGACCTCCCTCATTCTAGAGGAATCTAGGTGTAAAAGCGTACTATGTTTCAATCTATGTTGCACGAGATTTACCCGTGCAGGTTTGCATTTTCGGTCTCAACTCCCATGCCGCGATGGCCATGGTTACCTAAGACTAAAAGAGACAGGCAAAAAAGCCACTTGAGAGGGCGATGTCAAAAGAGTTATTATTTCTTAAGTCTAATAATACGATAATACGAAAAGATACGAACAAGGCGTGGTAATAATGATGACTCCGATACGCCAGACCTTCCCCCCAAGAAAAAAGCAACCAGACCACTCAAGATATCTCTAACATGAAACAACCTCGTCCGTAAAGGGTTTCCTTCCGCGGACGATTATCCTATAACTACCATAAGCAAACATCTTCCCTAAGAGAAGTGGATAGGGGTGCATACAGATCAAAGTACCACCTTCGTTTCCGATTGCATACGTCTTTCCTTGCTTCGTCTATCAATGACCGAACTTGCTCAGCGGTCATCCCTAGCACCCGTGTGAATAATGCAAGGGTATACGCTTCCATGCCCTCAACAAAGTTGAGCACGTTGTAGCGTCCAATCTCTTTTTCTATAGGATCAGTTGACCAAGTGCCCAACGGAAGGCGACGAGATTCCGAAGTTACGTCCACAAAGCCCGCTGCTTTCATAAGGGAAGTAAACTGAGATACCTGGCCGACAAATGGACGACTAGTAGCGGCCGATGCTTCGGCAAATAGGGAGAAAATGCGCAAAAATGGGAGGTCAGTAGGCGGCATTGGGCCGTCGGTATGTGGCTCCGGTGGTGTTTCTTGTAATTCTAGCCAGCCACCTGGTCGAGCATGTCTGTTGGAGGTTAGGAGAACCGGCTTGACTAGACATTGGGAGACAGTCTTACGCATATGCTTGTTCGAAGAACCTTGGCCAATCACTGATTCCTCCTAACTGACATTGGATGAATACTGTTACTCCGCTCGACAACCGGGAAACTTACCAACTGGCGAGTATGAATCATATCAAAGTTATTTGTGGGATAAACCCACTCCGAATCGCCATCCTCCACTTCAAACGAGCAATTTGCTGGCGGTGAAACTTGTATGGGAGATAGATCTGTGCCAATGACCTGTCTCACATGTCAGTAATTCACTCTAAATCAACGCCCCCTTGGAGCAAACATACTCGAGCATTTGGGTATTTGCTGTAGCAAAATCAATCTCGTTAGTAGTGCAAATTGCGGTTCGATGTGGATAGTCTTACAAGGCCATCTCAACCGCCCATATTCCTTTGATCCGTCAGTTGAATGCTCCAAAGAATGGCAAAAACCTAACTTACCAGTTCCGGTGCCAACATCCAATATCCTCCTTGGGTTCTCCAGCGGTGCAAGATGTAAGTTATCATCCATTCTAACTCGTCAATTAGTATAGTGTTCATCTCACTCAAGGCGAAAGTCCCTCACCTTAGCAGAGCCATCTGATGGAAGATGTCCATTCTATCTTGTTCTTGCTAGACACCAACCCTTATTAGCTCTGGTCGAACTGTTTCCGGTGGACGAGGTAGGGACATACCTGGTCATTGGGCAGCACCCAATTCCCTTCACGATATGAGTGATAACGTCGATCGTGCTCAAACTTATAATTCCCAACGGTGGATAGAATGGATGAATTCGATCTCACGGCAGAGGACATTGACGAAGCAATACTGCTGCTATCAGAGTCAAAAATCGAGCCATCAAGGGTGCTAAGCTCATATTCGGACTGTGATTCGTCAGCAATGGGCGAACGAACGGCTTATGCAGGGATAGTGAGTCTCCAAACCTCTGAATACATGATGGGGAAGGAGAGGTGTGATTTTTATGGAGAGCAAGGCAGAGACGGTAGACAGAAGGGCAAACAAGGATAAATAAGAGGAGAGAGGGTGAGGAAATGGGGGGGGGAGGAGTGCAAAACGTACCCGTTTAGTGCCATCATCATCACTACTGTGGTGCCCTATGGACGTGTCCCTGATAACCTCACCCGTTACGTCTTGAGCGGCCATCGTGGAAGCTCCAGAGCGCGACCCTGAGAGCTTGTATCCTTTCCAGACCAATTACTCTGTATATTCGGACTCTGTCTAACGGTTTGAACCTCAATAATGTGATATACTTTGCTGGCCGAATCAGTCTCAAACGCGGATGTTCCTTTGCTACCGGACAGACAAGCTATAAGTTAAACGTGGGGTTTGACGGCGGGTGGTTGGAGCAATAAAAGCAACGAATAGAGGTAAGCACTCTGAGAATTCCGACAGACTGGTCAATTCGATCCACACACCCCTTTTCCGGTTGGAAATTTTTTTCTTCTCCTTCCCGAGGGAGCGGTAACCACTTTATATGAAGGTGATCTAACAGGCTGAGGAATTTCAATTTGTACCTTCCTCCTGCCACTTGTACCGGTATACTCGAGTACGGTAGTTCGCCGAGTGAGACCTTGTTCCCTCTCTCTCCTTTTTGCTTTTTATTTATTTTATTTTTACTCTTTATTTTACTTTTTTCCCCATCACAAAACACGTTTCATTTATGACGAAGGAGCGGACTGAACGCGAGAGGTGAAAAGGTGGATTAGTCTTGGGAATTCCCGAACAGTCGCCACCCGACGCTTTGGTTCGGTTCCCCAGTGATGTGGGAGAAGACCGTGCACTTTTACAGGCATTAATCAATTCCCTTCTCTTCTACTCTCCTCAATGTTTGCATTGCTGTCTTCTCTTGCTATGGATAGTTCTGCTCGAGAACCGCAGGCGGAGAGACAGACACCCTTATCCTGCGCTCATATCAACATCGACAGTCAAAACGGCTCACGGGGTGCGAACTTTTCCCCCTTTCACTCTCGACCCGACCTAACAGCCCCATCAGGTCACGACTCCGCATGTTCGGTTCTACAAAACTGCACTGTTACTACCCTTCCTCCTTGTCAAAACCCCGACCCCCCTCTTCCGCATGCCGCGCCCGCGCCCATTTTCAACGATGATAGCACGGTATTATCCTCAATTAATTACTCTATCCTGGCCGAATAATAAACCTGTCACCTCGGGCTCAGCGCGGGTAGTGAAAAAAAAAACCAAAAAAACTTACCCCCCCCCCCCCAGGGAGAAACAAACTCCTCCCCGAGGGATTGGTAACTAGCAAAGCAGGGGGTAGTGGTGGTAAGGGTAAAGGTACTGTACAGTACGGGTACCGTACTCGTACTTGTAGAACTAGAAGTACGTGTACCCAAACGGAGAGCCGCTCGGGTGGGTTACGAGGGTCTACAATCACCAAAAGGAAAAAAAATCCCAACAGGTTGGGAAGTGGAGATGGCAACCATTTCCGTTTCAAGATTCACCGTGGACTACGGTATCTTACTTGCAGAAGCTAGAGAGGGTGAAGTGGGGATTACGGTGATTGAGAGAGAGGCCCTGGAATACGGTACGTACTCGAGGACAAGTAGGAAAAAAAGAAAAGGAAAAGGAAAAAGGAAAAGGGGTAAGTTGGGGGGAAAAACGAAAAAGAAAAAACACACCAATAACATGTCGGACATGATTTTCACAATTTCCTTCGAGTGAGAAGGCGTGACGTGACCTGCAGGGGATGTGGGTTGACCCCTCACAGACAGAGCACTTGTATCACGTGCAAGTCGGGACAGGACGTGGCCAGGAAGGCGAGACACTGATGGTGACTATGGTTTATGATGCTCGAGCAGCTCCATCGCCCTCGCCGTGACGGCGCACACATGCGAGATGCCAGAGATGCTTTGGCTGCAGGAAGGTGTGTGTGTCTGCAGGCCCTAAGAAAGAAAAGAAAATCGAGCCGGGTTCCTGTCTCCCGGGTCCCCGTGGAAAAATTGTTTCTCATCCGCAACACTGGATCCACCCGCTCCTCCGGTCCGTTTGGGTTCTGTTAGTTCTACTAATTGCACATCCGCACAGCGAATAAACCCGACACGTTGCTTTTACAGTGCCGTGATAGAGTTGAACAGTTGTTTACACCTTTCTATCTCTCAAGAGGGCTCGAATAGGTGATGGTTGGGTCCCCCTCTATTGGGGAAACAAACAAGCAGCAGCTGGAATGAATTGTCCCCCGTTCTCCACCCCTCCAGGAACATGGATGGATGAAGGTTGCCCTTGTGGTGCGTGCGATCGGTAGATTATCGGTTCGCTCACTATTCGTAAAATAGTAATAATTGAACACGATGATTGTAAAAATCGCTCAGCTATCGGAATGCGCACTTGGCTAATAGTGTACGATACGATACGGTATTACTCGAGTACACCAGCTCGGGCCCAACGGTTTCACCAAAGGAATCATCATATCCCGCTCTGGCCACTTCTACGCGAGGGCCGGTAGAGTACTCGAGTACCATACCAGTACCGATGCATGTACGAGTACTCGAGTACAGGACGCCGGTATGAGATTGGAGCGCCCCCATACTTGTACATTCACCCCCTCCCCAGCCCACCCACATTCCCACAGATTTGGAACCCTCCACTTCACGCATTGCACTCTCCAAAGGAACCCGATCCACAGACCCGGGCCTCGCACTCTTACTGTACAGTACCGGTACCACATCCACCCCTCAAGCCATCAAACCAGTGAATGGGTAATCACCCCCTCCTTTCGGATGCCATCGGCCGTCGCCATCCCATACTCACTCTCGCCCAAGCCCGAATCCAACGTTATCAATCCCAAGTCCAAACTATGTCGGCAGGTTCCTATCATACCGGCACAGTACGGTACTCGTGCGTAGCACCCTTCCACCCTAGGGGAGGGAAAAAGAAGACACAAACCCAAACGAGAACTTCGCACCCCCTTGAAGGAGCGAGTGAGGGTGCCCCAGATCCACGATGCTATAGGCCGTCATACGAGTCCTATACCCAATCGCAACATTGTATTATGATGCCCGATCCACGATTTCCAGATTTTCTCACATCCTAACTCTTGTGGGGCGGCAAGAAGCCTGTACAACACTAGTACTCGAGTACCGTACTATACTGCACGAGCACAGCACTGCACTCATCTAGCGTGGGACAATTTATTGGGGGTCGAGTTTCCAGCGCCAGGGGGTCGGTTTTTGTCCCTACTGTATGTTTGGGTGCAGGGTGCGGTAGGAATGGGAGTGGGGGTGCAGCGCGGTAGTAGTGCAGATGGACTGTACCGTACGTTTACTTTCCAAACAGGAATTTAACTTGCACGCAGATGCAATGCACGTTATACGAGCGGTCGGCGCAGTGCATACCGGTACATACACTCACTACTGCCCAAGCACAGTATCCGGAATAAAAGTGCCGGGGGAAAATATTCGAGTCCGGATTTAGTACCGTCTTGAATAAGGCAGAGAGCCGCGCGAAGAGGTTGTACCGGATCTCTTTTTCCCCTTCAGCCTTTGGAAGGCCAACGATGTTATCGATATCTTTGTCATCATCGTCCCCGGTTCCACCGGGCAGGAGGAAGGGGGGGTACTGTATGATACGTGGCCAGGGGCGGACGGGAATACCTGTAGCAAGGTATTTGTTCGGGTTCAGGGCGCCCATTTTCTGATGGGCTGGGGGTATGATACAGTGCCATAAAAAACATTGACAATCGGGATTGTTCCATAAACCGGAGCAGCGCGGGAAGATTCTCACTTTTTTTTTTGATGATATTATTGTACTCGAGTATGCGATGGTAAGCATTTCCAGTAAATCGCATTCACACGCCACCTCACTTTTTACTCGTACACAAAGTGGAGTTCAAATCTTCTCCCGAGCACGTTCCTTCCCCTAGAGACAACGATCGGCGACCGGACAGGCCCGCTTGTCGCCATAAGGGGATGCTTTTGAACCTTTCTATAATATCCAAGTACCGGTACAGTATGACCTCTCCGCACCTTTTCCTCTTAGGTACGGTATTTGAGATAACGCGGTATGGGCGTTCAGATGCGCACAGATGATTTGCCCGTACCAGTACGAGTGCATGTGCTAGAACCGTACTCTAGTACCGGTACTTGTATCAGTCTAGTCCAAATTTCTAATCCTCGTTGCTCGCCCGCTCCATGCCGGAAGCCTGTACTCGAGTACAAACCTGCACGCAACCGAAGGACGAAGAACACGGCCTGTAGTACAGTCGCTGCACGTATGCGTTTTGTCAATTTATCTTTATTTTGGCGAGCCACTGGAGTCCGTGGGTTATCCGCCAGTTTAACTGGGGCTTGGAGGAAGGTCCTGTGGGGGGGAGGGGGGTTGGTTCTGGTCTCTCCTTCTCCGGCAGGGTGTGATGTGTACTCGTACATGTAGCACCGTACTCGGCACTCTACTCGTGCAGCAACTTCTTCCTATTCAAGGTGCTGTGGATGCTCCCCCCCAAAAAAATTTCGACCCCCCATTCGGTTAAGGATTATTGTTACTGTGGATTGACGCTCTGCATGAGTATGATAACTTACCGTAATTGCGAGCCATCCCAGCAGAAATCAGATTATCAGCCGGTATACAATTGAAGGCACTCTGCGAGACCTTGCTCTTCGGCCGTCGGAATCCATCCATCGTGATGCTGGTATGCTTCTTGGGAACACGAATTGCCTCACGGAATCGTTACCACTATTCGTACCTACCAGCACTCTAGCATCGTACTGTACTAGTACAGTATCTGTAGCTTACAGCCTGACCCATGATACAAGCACGAGTACGTACATCACACCCTACCCTACCCTACCCGACCCGTCCTGGGAAGAACGCCCCTTCATAATTTCGCGGGCTATGATAATATGATACTACCGAACACGCCCTGCGGAAAACCCCCAACCTCACAGTTTGTGGCCCCGGCAACCGCAAGTATCATACAAAAGGTCTGGACCAAATCCGCCTTATCAAGCAAAACTCCACCCCGGGCCCAAGATGACTTGACCCGCCTGAACGGCGCTGCCCGGTTCGCTACATGCACCGTAGCAGCGTACTGTGCCCGTGCCCAAGGATAATGGGGAGCGGGGGGGGGGGGGTCACTAATTAAGTAACTCGTGTCATCCCGGGCCTTATATGGCACTTGAAGACTGCGCCAGAGTAGCAGTTCTGGATTGGTTGCGATCGGGAGGATATCTAACGGAATGGCGAGCTACGGTACCGACACCGGTATGGTATTATGCTTGTATAAATTCTACTCGCACAGTACCAGTATTGTGAAAGTAGGCGGAGTGCAAGTCGAATATCAGTAACTTAATCAATGGGCTTAATTAGAACGCGCCATAGTTACCGTACTACTGTATACGAGCAGCGTTGTTGGCACTTGAAGTGCCTTGTGCCATGTCATTTAATGGTGCCCGGCACGGCACAACGTACCGTACTGTACCGTAGTGCCAGAGCGTAGTGAGATCAACCTGTGGCACAATTTAGCATTGTTTCTTCCATGACGGTACGAGTCTCGTGCAGCACTCCTCGGGGAGATAGATAGTGGCTTCGCAAAATATTCTTGCTTCAAGACTTTCCAATATTGAAATTCATCCTGCGGGATATTTTCACCTTTTCACCTTTTCGTTTTCCCCGCTTTTGTCCCTTTTTTTTTTCACCGTCTTGTTCTCTACGCGTTTTGCCCTAGTGCTACGGTATATAGTGCCGTGCCCGGCACAAATTCTCCTCACTAAGTGCTAACAACGCTAGCCATAGTACAGCACTTGGAGGGAATACACACCGATTATCCCAAGTATGGTGCTCGGTAACCTCAATATTGACCGCAGTGGAGGGATGGAAGTGGGAGCATGCTTGATTGGAAGGATGGCAGGCGGTGCGTAGCCCGGCACCGATGCGCAAGAATGTGCGAGTATCGAGTGCTCGTGTGGGTGTGTGCTATGCGGTAAGAATCTTTTTTTCCAAAGGTACAAAGATTGGGTTTAATATGTTTAGCATGGGTAATCTTGGCTGCTACCCTGGAGCAGTCCGGTCGGAATGTTGGTTGGTTGTGGAAGCTCAGGCTATTTTCTTTGGCATCAGGCTCTGTGCAGGGCTTCCATGCCATGATCGTCATGGGAGTTGATTAATCTCTAGGAAGCAAGAGCTCTACTCGTAGGGATGTTCCAATATTCCGGATAACGGTGGTCTTTCGGCACGGGCCCAACGTACGCCCTAGCAAGGCAAGAAGTACCGTACCCGGAAACAGGGATTCACGAGATATGGCAAAAAAATCTGTGCATACCTGAGTGCCAGTACAAATTCACGACCGCTGTTTCTCGAAACCCTCTTGCCTGCTACAGGTACAGTGCATTGATTGACTATCGGTTCCCCAGAGGCCACGTCTCCCCTCTCCGGTATATTCTTGTCGTGCGGGCTTCCAGAGCCCGCTGAAAAGGAAACCAATTGCTCTGATAGGAATCATGCCGCGATTCGGCTGTGGTTTCTTCGGTGCTGGTGGTGGACACCGTTCCCCCCTCCGTTTTTTTTAATAGCTAAACCATCCGGAGGAGGATATATGATCCCCGCACAATGCTGAAGGGCATCCCCCCGTGGGCTACCGCAGAATCCTCCATATATTCCCGGGATGACGTTTCCCGACTATCACCCTATCGCCAACAGCACACTCGAAATATCGTGCAATCAGGGTATTGTATGGCCCAAGGAGATCCCAGCCTTTATAAATCACCCAAGGAGCCTTCGAGTAATTCGAATGCTTTGAAATGAGGACATTGAAATAGGCATTAAAGCACTGTTGATCTCTTACATTATAAGCACGTGAAAGGCTAACTTGACAGGATGAACATCAACTAACTCGGGTCCTTGACTCCTTGATGCAATGGGTATCATGAAACCTGTGAACAAGGTTATTCTGCACATTAACCTCTCCGAAAGGGTTATTCTCCCGCCTCGTGCCAATAAGCATCGGTTCCATCTCGTGCACACTCCATCACTCGGGTATCCCTTGTCAACCCTGTTGTGGGATTCCCCCGATTGTAGAAACATCCCGGGCCACAAGTTTCTGCGCAACCGGGGATATCCTATCACTATTTGGTGCCCAAATCTCCCGCCAACCGGGGAATACTCCCCCATCTCCCACACCACCGTTCGCTCACCGCGCATACCGCCAACGACCAGCTTCCAGATTCCGGAGATATTTCCATCAAACGTTCACATCCCATCTGATCCCTTCACTTCTCCTCCATCTCCCAAACCACTTCTTCATCCCCCACCAAGCCTTTTTCACCCCCTTCCATTCAATTCATCATCCATTACCCCGAGGCCCTGCCCTTCAGTAATCCACAGCCGCACATCCCGCAAATACCCATACCACCCCCTTACCCCTCCAACCCCGACTGTATGCGGCCTGTCCTCGAGCCTGCATCGAGCACAATAGCAAACAAACCCAAACACTTTCCAAATTGCCCCCCTCCTTTCTCCAACATCACTCATCAGCACGGTCGGGAGGTAGTAGCTAATAGTGATCTCCTCATTCGGTAGTATCGGACGCATGGCGATTATCTGCAGACGCGGCGTTGGTGACGAGGAATATATACTCACTGCATTGGGAAGGCAGCTATGCTTTATTCTCGAAACCAGTCTCGGGAGCACCCAGGTGGACTCGCCGACGAGGTTGCCTCCTCGAATCGTTGCTCGGACAAGGTGTGCTTGACCGAGCCCTAGTTGGGTCCCTGCCAGTCCTGCAGAGTGGAGGGGTGCGGGGATGTCTTGGTTCTGGGAATTTGTGAATATCTCGGGGACTTGGGCGAGTGCGGGGGTAGGAGTGCTGTTTGACCGGCCTGGTGAGATGGTGGCGATTTCGAGAATGGGGGTTTCGGAGAGGATTAGCCTTCCCGCAGGCAAGTGTTTGTTTGCCCAGAGCCCTTTTGAGGTAGCTTGGTAAGGGGGTGCCTGGGATGTGGTGGAGTGGCTGAGCTCCATGACTGTATGACCTGTTTTGCAACTGGTGTCCGGTGCAATTGTGGTGATGGGGTATGTGTTTGGAAAGTAGACTGGCGAGCTCTTGAGAAGTAAGCTCGGGTTTGTAAGATTTGCTAAGTGGATATATCGATATTATGAGGAGAGCAAATATTTTGCTGAACAGAGGTATAACAGAGTATTTGGCAGCGGAGAGAGAGAGAGGGGGGCGAAAGTGTTTTCTTATTCTCTCTAACAAGATGCCTAATTACGATGCATGTGTCGTCAGCAACCATGATTCACGATATATCACTCGGTAGAACTCCCGGCAAACCGGTTGGAGGTCGTGTGATAAGTGAGGGATTGAAGAGAAAGGGAACACCGAAGGGTACAGAAAGAGATAATGAGGTATATATGTATCGGTTGTAAAGAGTGTTAATTCTCCTTACCTTCCTATAGCTACATGCGCTAGAAACAGCCACACTATACTCACAGAAGTCTGCATATAGACAAGACGAGTCCAGAGGTTCCGAGCCAAACACAAATCCGACACATTGAAGCAACACTTCCGACAGAGCTCTTTTGATAACAGGGTTCCCGTATTCCACAGCGCTTTGCTAGAATTCTTCCTTTTGATCATAAATTCGCCCCGGAAGACCCCGCCGAAAAGCTATATTGGCAGTAGTAGGCCCCGTCGCAGCAACTCCTCTCCACCCCACTCACTCCCGCTCACCAGCACAGGTTCCCATGCTTATCCCCGCTATAGTGGATAAATGTCAAAAACCATCGACCTCCCTCCCCGCTAGAAAGATACCGGCCACACATCACAAATTCCTGGCACAGGAAAGAGACAAGTTACATTAAGCGGGCGTCTTTTTTCCCTTTCTTGCGCTCCCCGATCACGGTTCGGAATCCCGTCGCTATAGTCTATATTTTTGGTTCCGGGGCTGTTGGTCTGGGTGGTAAACCCTTGAAGATTATCGTCAACATCTATCTAGTCTGCATTCCGCCTATCCGGAGTATCATATCGTGCGGTTTTTTATTTTTATTTTTATTGTGCGGTGCTGTGCTGTGCTGGGTTAATGTTTCCTTCCATTCCTGTTGGGGGGGAGACGAATTTCCCATTCGAATCGGGGCCGATTTTAGAAGGTTGCGGTGCAGGATGCTCCTGATTTGGAAATGATGCTGTTTGGGATGAAATTGAGTTTTTTTCTTCCCCTTTCAGGGACTGATCGCTGCCCAAGTTTTGTAGCGTATTTGACGTTGCTCTTGTGAGTTACGTTATGCATGATATGATATAATACCAGTGCTAAATGGAATGGGGTGGAGCCACCCTCCCCCTCCGAGAGTATATCATATCATATCGTATACTATTACACGTAACCGGGTAACTTGGAGGTTTTCTTTCATTCGTGACTGTCCTATCATACATCGACGACGAGATAGATGGAGCCCAGGATTCCTCTGTGTGTTTAGTACACCTGATCGGTGGATGGGAAAAAATGGTCAATGTACATCCTCATTAAGTTTGTAACATCCCCCAAGAAATCTATAATACGGGGTTATCAGCAGTCCAGCATGATACCGGGTCAACCAGAAACCAGCAACCATTACTGATAAAAGGGAGGAAGGTAAGAAGAGGCAGATAGACAATCCCCCCACTCAGGTTCCCAACCCAACCCACCCAAGAACCCGCCCACCGAGAGAGATGAAGAGCAGTCAAGATCTCCAATATCATAGCTTCTGGTCACCCCCACCAAATAAATGACACGAACTCCCTCTAATACCATGGGTTATAAAGCAGCCTTTGTGATAACGGGATAAAAAGAACAAATAAAACAATCGTACATCACCAAAAAAAAAACTCCCCCAATCGTAAAATTCCCGAACTCTGTTTATTCCGGATAACTACAGTACCATGCATATTAGGCACTAAACCAGTTGGTAACAGACATAAGGGCTCAAGTTTTCCAGCAGCGCAGAGCACGGGGAAGAAAAATGATGCCAGGCAGGGTACGCCCCACCAGGACAGGTTGTAGAGTTATCACACTGGGATATTGAGAACCCGTAATATTTTACAGCTTTTTTTTTTCTTCCTCACGCTGGCAGGCGGCAGTTTTCCAGTTTTTTTAGCGTGTACTGTAGTTTTTGGGTCATCCGTTTCTGCGCGGTTGTCTAACGCGTCGGGCGCATGAGGAGGAGGGAATATACCTGTGGATCGATGGCGCAGTTGTGATCCCCATTGGCAGTGCTCGGATGGAGGAGTTTTTTTTTTACTTCCTTGACATATCTTGAATCACGTCGTCAAGATAGTGGGGACTAGCAAGCTATTGCCCAACAGTAGGCCCGGCCGGGAGCTGCCGGCGGGAGAGAGGGGGGCGCTTGTACGCGAAAGTGGTCTTGCGGGTATGAGAAACCAGAATAGGTGTTTCTGGATATGGGGAACTTTAGGCAGGATTGTTTTGTTTGGGATCTTGGAATGATCTTGCAAAGAAACAGCACTATTATTATAATAATGATGATGATGATTTGGTAAAAGCAGTTTATTTTAATCTTTATATGGTCGTCTTCATGTATACCGGTATTGTGATACTTGACGACCCACCACACCGGCAGGATTTATAATTCGGGGGTTGTGGCATTGGAGTCCCCGACTATGATAATTTATGATATCATACCTGAAAAGAAAAGGAACCCACCACTTCACCACCATTCCCCACCGCCTTCATATCATACAGCGCGAGAGAGAGCCGCACCCTCCAACTACGGCTCTCTTCCCCCCCCACTTCAAACTCGGCCATTGACGTTCAATGACTTGGGGGAAAAAAGTATTTTTCTCTCTCCCAAAATTACCCACGTTGTACAACCCAATGGACAGGAACATTATTATGAGAACTAAGGAGCCACCACCACCCTCTTGAGCGGTATCATATAGCACATATGGTAAAAGAAAACCATCACAAACAAGGCAAATAGCATCGGTACCCTCCCTCCCCCCGCTAGCCCAGCCACAACCCTCACTTCAGGTTCTCGAACAGGGTCCGTTAGTAAAATCACCACCTCTCACTCACGCACTGGTTCCCCGGAACAGCAGTCGAACCTCGCCACTACATCACGGATCTAAACTACCAAACCCCCAGTACTAGGAGAGAAAGAAAGAGGAGGGGGGGATTCTTGACGTCCTAGAGTCGGGATCATCGCCATTAGAGGAGTGATGGGGGGGGAGGGTAGTACCCGTACCGTAGTCCCTTCATTACCCAAGAAAAGAATGAACCGGAACCTCTGTTTTAAGATAGGGCTGATTCTCAAGTGGTATTGGGAAAGGCGTCGGAAGGAGGTCTGTCAGGTGAAGTAAGTCAGTAAAAGTTAAGGATTCCTTGTCCGGGCTTTTAACTGACTTTGTAGCGGACTCTCAGGAGGTTTTATTTTTATTTTTATTTTTTTACCCTCCCGTAACTAATGTTGCCACAAGATGACTTGCAAGTATGTTTCCGCAAGCACAGAACAGTGCTCAGAGGCCGATAGTCCATCCGTGTGGTAGCTGTCGTTGAAAAAACTCTCGTAGCTGAATCGACTCGTACCGCATTCATTGAGTTCGAAATTTTCCCATCCTGACAGAATATCATGGGAGGAATTTCTCGACTCTTCCAGAGCACTTCCGGTTCGTGATCCGAGACTCCGGGGGCTGCCGGGCCAACCAAGTACACAGGCCCACGCAAAAACGGGTTTCAACCTTTCCCCGCGCTCGGATTTCTTCTGGATGATTTATCCTCATCGCTCTCCTTTCTTTTCTCTCTTTTTTTTTTTTTTGACGGCACGCTGTCTTTGCTTCCCGACTCTATATAATATTATGCGTGCCCTGGCTGGTCCAAATTACTGTGATACATTCTACTTCGTCAAGGGATTCACTTGATGGAGTAACTTAGCTATATCCCCTTCAGCGTTTTCAGGCGGCAATGCAGGCCAGTCGACACACACCCTACAGACTTATTGAACAGGGGGACTCCCCAGGGCACATCGGACTGGGCACTAGCCTGTAATGGGAATCGAGTGAGCAAGCATGATTTCAATGATTCGGGGTGTTTATTTTTCGGACGTGTGTATCTGGTGATAGGGGTATATGGAACAGAGCGCCAGCGTATGCGCCGGAGATATCTATTACTGGTAGAATGTATAAATTAGTGCAATACGCTGTCTTCGCCTCTAGTGGTTATGGCACTGGGGGGGTTAGAGGCGACAGGGTGCGGAACACAGTACTGTACAGATCTAGAGTGAGCTCTTGTATCCTCAATGGCTCCGAGCCCCCGTATTGGGTCCCTGAGGGGGGGGGGTGACAGCCAGAAGCCACGAACGAGGCGAGGTGGAAAAACGTGGTCTGCCCTCGCTCCTAAAGCCCTGGGGACCGCAGTTACTGTGAAGGACGGGCGGCCTCTATAATGTAAGACAAGTTGGTGCAGGGAGTCACATAGTACTCCCAGGCACCACATGGGGAGACGGGGATGTGGGAAAACCCGTAGATGAGTGAGGGGGATTAGTGGGAAGGGGAAAGTTTTTTTTTTCTTTTTCGGATTGTAGAGTAATACCGGTGGTTGGCCTCGGGTGACGGTAGGTGACGGCAGGAGATAATTATGATATAAATCCTATAAGCACCACGCCCTTGCACCCCTCCTTAGCCCGATGCGTTCCACGGATCACACACGAAGTGGGTAAAAGGCGACAACGGAAGGCTAAATAGGACTAGAGTAGCAACTCCTCAAGTTGTGCGTTGACTTGATGAACAAAAGAATGTATTCAAAATTTCACAACATAAGCAATCCCACGGCACAAATCGACTTCCTTTAGACACCATCGCTTCTACCGATAGAATTAAATTTCCTGCAATCATAGCAGCGATATCTCAGGAACCAAGCGCTGTCCCCACCTAGGAACCTAAATAACCGATAGGGGGGGGGGGGGGGGGTTGGAAACACCCCCCTAGACATTGCTCCTGTTACTGGAGCTACCTATGCCGAGTAATATAGAAT